TATATATATATATATATATATATAATAAGCGAGAACTTTTCTCGCAACCTGATGACACGTGTAGCGTAATGGTAGTTACCAACGCTCACTAAAGCGCATCATATATGTATATATGTGTGTAGATACACGTCAATCCATTATTCACTCTATAAATTTATCTACTGTAATATGAGCTGTACACGTATATTTCCATGTGTGTTAATCATAGAGGTGAAAGTGACACATTCAGATCTTAACATTGACAGTATATTTCCTCCAACCACCTCGGATTATTTTTATATCTATTCATGGTACGAATCGATCGTAGGGAAAATTTTTTTCTATCATCATTAGATGTTTTTATATTTATTTTATTTTATTTATTAATATTAACATTTATTTCAATCAAATGACATTACATACACAGTAAAAAAATTTTCGTCAAATTTAACACAAATATTTGTGTTACTGACTGTTTTTACACAAACTAATCTTAATTCAATATTCTAGTGTGTTAAATTAACACATAAGAATGTGAAATTCTACACACTAGAGTGTAATATTCTACACAAAAATTTTTACACTTTACACAATGACGAAAAATTTTTTACTGTGTAGGATTATTTATTTCTTTCGGTTCTATTGTAAATTATATGTTTATTGGGGAAAATAATTGGATTGGATTAATATGATTTATTTTAGCAGTAGACTTAGAAAAAAATTATATTTAGTAGTTTAATTTTTAATTTTTCGCTAAAAAAATTGAAAGTTTTCAAAAATCGGCAGGTTATTGGTTTTATCCTATAAGTTATTGGTTATATATCTATGTAATCCTCGTATAACTTTTGAACTTGGCCGATTTGATCGCGGTTGGCGCTATTCGAAAGGGCTTGACCAAACTTAGATTTTGAATACAATTTGGACCGGTAGATTTTGAGAAATCTCAAAAAAACTGCAAAAAAAAATTTTTTCAAATGTGGTTTTCTTGGAATCACTTTTAAACGGCTTTGCCGATCGATTCCAAAATCTAATCAGCTTTTAAGATCGAAAAACCACGTCGATCGCCGCCAGCCTGGTCAAAATCGGTTGATTCGTTCGTGAGTTATCGTTGTCGAAAGAAAACCAAAAATAGTGTTTTTTTGGAATTACTTCGAAATTCTTAGTTTGATTAATTGAAACTTAAGGAGGTATTGCGCCAAGAAAAAGATACCAATAGGTTATGGCTATTGGTTTCTTTATGTAAGAAAGTACCTCCTTAAGGATTCTTTATGAGGCTTAAAAAGCTGCGTCGAATCCCTTCAATCGCGCGAAAATCAATTCATTCAAAAGTTATTGAGGTTTGAAAATTCAAAAAATAGTGTTTTATTAAACTTTTATCAGATTTTTGAGCTCAAAATGACACGAAAATTATATTTTTGAGCTCGTAGAGCTCAAAAATCATAACAAGTGCAATTTTGAATGCTTAGCGGGAAGTTGCAGGCATGGCCTTTCCACGATTTAACTTAATTTTTAAAGTTTTAATTAATTGTAAATAATCTAAACAAAATTTAAAGAGGAATTATTAAAAAAATAATTATACATTTGCACAAAAAAATTGCTTATAATCAAATTTTAAATTTTTCAATTAACAGCTCCAAAAAAAATTATTTAATTTTATTTATTCCCACGCAATATTTTTTTCTCAATACAAACAATTCCGAAGTAAATTTTTCACATTACGAAAATCATGTAAACTCATTAAAATTTAATTTCCAAATAAATATACCATCCTAATTATAACTCCTTCTTCTTAAAAAAAAATTTCCACCCGAAAAATTCAGTCGACTTGCTTCCCAAAATAAATAAAACCTAATTCCTCTAATCAGTCATAAAAAAGTAGCCTTCCTAATAGAAAAACGAAACCGGGACAAGTTAAGCAATCATGAGCCTCTAAAAATAGTGATAATTAATTAATCCAAAAATATTAATAGTCCAATTTATTAATACAGTCCTCATAATCCCGTGAAATGAACCCCCAAATAAACAATCATAAGGATAGGAAAAAAAAAAAAAAAAAAAAAAACTGGTGACTAGAAGCCGTTCCAAACATTTTATTCATCCCTTACCCTTAGCATGGACTACGGGCACATACCATCCAAACTAAGATCAATATGTTGCGTCACGTCGCCCGCGGTCCCTTCCGCACATCGCGGGCCACCATCCCCGCCTTTTCTATCCGTTCTCGTATTCTATGTTCTATTCCGTTTGCTTTAACCCTCTATACTCTTCTCTCTTCTCTCTTCTCTTTTCATCTCCCTCCAACTCCCATCGGTGAATCCAACTCGCCCACTCTTTTACTTCACTCCGTAACTCTTATTCTATTTTTTTTTCTACTCTGCTCGGCGCAAGCTTTAAGTGACGTCACGCAGGGACGCGCCCCATTCATAGGCCCCCACGCACCGGACTGCTAAACCTACTAGGACATAAAACTTGGTAACCGACCCCAGACTCAAACCCCGACGACCTTGTAACCATGTGAGGCTTGTATACGTGTAATATCACCATCTTTTATTACTTATTTTTTTTTTCCTTATAAACCAAGCCGGACTTCTTTGTTTGTCTAATCAATTATTTTTATTTTTTATCTATTTATCGATTTTTTATGGTAATAACAATAAGAGAAAAATTTATTATAAGAAAATTTTCTTGATGATAATTAGACTTTTTTAATTAATGTGTCTCAAGGAAAATTTATATTTTTATAAATTACAATTGGTAATAAAAAATAATTATACCTTATTTTTTCATAGACGGCTAGTATGAAAATTGTTTTGAACGGTTAAAATTTATTTATAAAATTTAATGATCAATTTAATCAACAAGTTTTTTATTTGAATTATTATTTGAGGAAATTTTAATAATAAATGGTGATTTTTATGATAATTAAAAATAAAATTATAAACTTTTAGTGATATAGGAAAATAAGTTTTAATAATTAAATTAAATATTACAAGTTTGGAATAATAATAAATATGTATGAAATATAATGCAAACTATTTAACTATGTTAAAGTAGACCGAAATTGTCCAACTAATAAAATAGTTATACTTTTTGCGTTCCTTAAAATTATTATGGTAAAATTGATTATTTTTTGTTTATATTTAGAAAATAATGGTTACTTTCATTGAAATACATCCAAAATATTATTAGAGGTGATGAAAAAAATATTGCGCCTTCAATAAACGAGTCAATAATTAGAAAAAATAGGTACAAATCTTTGAAGAAAATTAAATGCTATTTAAAAAGGTCTCTTAACACTTTCCGATAAATTGCTTTGTTTAAAAGTTATCACTATCAGTTGATTATTTCGACTCAGTCTAGTTTAGCATAGATAATTAAACTATTCTTAATACATTCGATAATTAAAAACGAATTAACTTATTTTAGACCGAAATTTTTCAACTGTAGTAAAAAAAGGCCTTATTAAAACGATTTTCATAAATATTTAATTTTTTTGCTTAAAGTAAAAGTAAACATTTTGTGTTTATATTTTTTTAAAAATCTACTTGAATAATGATTAACATAAAAACTTGTTATTTTTTATTTTATCATTATATTGCATAAATATGTCTTAAAGTTCTTTTCATACCTTTGATTTGAGCTGGCAATCATCTCCACTTAAACATTTGTTCAAATTTCATTTCTAAAAAATTTTGAAAAATTTCAAAAAATGAATTTCAGGCTATCAAGTAATTTTTAAATACCACCACATTTTTCACACAAAAAAAAAGTCTTATGTAATAAAAAAAATTAATAAAGAAGATCAAAAAATTTTTGGTTCTAATCAAATTTTTCTTTCTTTCAATTTTCTAAACTTGTATTAATTTTCGTGATTACAAACAATAGTAATATAAAATTGTCATATTATTTATAACAAAGCTTTCTAATTGCTTTAGAAAGTCATAATAATTATTACTAACTGAGTATTTATTTTTTATTTTAAAACTATTGTATGTTTGCTATAGATGCTCTTTAAACTGGCTGACAATTAAATCTAAAAGGTCCTACAATCTTGCTTGTTTCTTCTACAAGCTCATAAACTCTGGGGAACCAAAGTTACTGAGAGACCTTTTTATTGATGAATCTCCTGACATCAGACGATCCGATAGACTGGCTACAAAATACAATAATGTGATTTTTAAAATCCCAAATTTTTGAGAACTCGTTCACCGTAACTGCGATTCGTCTCTGGCGTGACCTACCAGCTGATATCATAAACGCACTGAGTCTTGAGACCTTCAAAATAAAAGCTTTTGAATTCCTTAAACATCTGGAGTTAGAAAAGCAAACGTGTTAAACAAATATCCAATATAAACAATGATAAATTTTCATCGATACGAGAACCTAGTTTAAATTACCAAACTGAGCTATACAAATTGCCACTATACTTTTTTTTTTTTCTATATTCTTTAAATTGAATTTATAATGTATTCTCAATGTTATACAAAGATGTAAAATTGTTTCAGAATGTTACTTACGTGTACCATTTACCATTTGCTATTCGGCTTTTAGCCTTGGCATTTAAATAATTAATAAATAAAAAAAAATAAATATATTCACACTCAATATAATTCAATGCGCAGCTTATAAATTTCCTTTTTTTATTATTCCACTTGAATACACAACTAGCATCAAAATGTTTCTTTTTTTTTTTTGTAAATTAATTTTAAGTTGAGATTTTTTTTTATAACTTGAAATAATTGACACTGATAATTTTGAAGCAGTCAAATTTGAGCTTATACGTCACAGTAAAATTAACAGAGATAGCGACTACTGCTTCGCAGTGGTAAAACACAAGTCTCGTGTATCGGTCTGTACGACAGAATTCTTTCCTCACGCTGTTATAGAGAGAGCGTGCGCGTAATTCCACCATGGAATAAATATTAGGCTTTCTTCCCTTCTGTAGGGTGGAAGTACGCACTTTCAAGATATGAAGAAAAATTTGATTTCACCCTAAATAATTATTGTCTTCGTAAATATTTTCTTGAGGAACTGACATTTTTTTCCTCGTCAAGAATTGAATTTTTTGTGCATTTTTCCAACGCATTACAATAATACTAGCTATTACTTACTGAATATAAAATTAAATTACTAGATTTTTTTAAAATCAAATTGTTGAGCTGCTTGGTCAATATTTGGTTCCTTTACTTATTAAAAAAAAAAAAAATAGGAATAATTTTAGGGTTTGATAAAAAAAAAAAAAAAAAAAAAAACAGGAATATTATTGATTAGCAATCGCGTAATATAAAAATATCTTATTTTAATACAGTAACTGGGAATAAAAATCAATAAACCTGTGAGTAAGAAGAAAAAAGGTATGAAATACTAGAAATAAACCGTGACTTATTTTTCGCTTAGAGATTTTATTATTATAAATCTGAAAATAGGTAAAATGTCAAGGCTGCTGTGAATTTAACGTTAAATTATTATTTTTACGTTTGTTTTTTTTTTTATCTCGCTAACTACACAGTCTAAGTCGAGACAGACGGACAAGTAGATCAGCCCGTGAGTGTCAGACGTGCTGAAGTAGTACGGAGGCCATTGCTGGATAAGCTGAGGGAAAAAGAGAGTAGAAGAAGAGAAGATAAAGAGCCAGAAAAAGAATAAGAGTAAGAATAAGAAGTGGGTATCATTTTATCTAGCGAACTGGAAGAAGAAAATTATTACTAGGCAGAGTTTTTTTTAAAAGTAAGAACAAAATTAAGAACAAACGACTTCAGACAAATCATTCATTATTTTTTTCACTTTGCTTTATTTTACATTGTGAAATATTACTTTGCAATAATACCAAATACCTTACGGCATATTGTGTTCTGATGTAAATCTGGACCAAAAGGGCTCTCTGTTTTCACATTTTTTATATTTTTATTTTTTTTTTCTTATTGCCAAGTACACAGTGGAAAACAAGATCAAAGAACGGGAATCTATACGAAATACATTCGCAACATTTAAGAAAATATGAGGCTTCTTTTCTTTGATTTTAGAAAATTCTACGGAGACTTAAATTAACAGCAGAAGACTAAAAGAATTTAATAAATATTAATTAAATGGTAAATTTTATTAATTAATTTTATCAAATGCTCTTTATCTTTTAAACAATGCTTTTTAGCGTTTTATTGTAAAAAAATCTTTTAGTAGAAGATTAAATGATCTAAAAAAAAATTGTTTCGTAGAAATTTGACTTTAGTGACGTGTATTTACCAAAATAAATATAAGTTACAACAAAAATTAAGGTTTTAAATTTTTAGGGAATTTTTTTTAGCATAAAGGATAATATTTTCTTCGAAAAGCGAAAAAAAAATTTTTTTCAAAACGCATCACCCTAATGGCCATATATATGGCCATTCATGATCTAATATGTCCATATATAATTTTTAATGGCCATATCAAGACATTTCCGGCTTAAAATAGCATTGTATATCGTGATATAAGTTAATATACCCATAAATAATTTTTTTATTACAAATAGTGTTGAAAGTCGCCGATAGGTGGCGCATGATCTAAAATAAAATAAAATACATAGCTAAAAATATAAAAAAAATATATTTTGAATATATATAATATATATTTGAAATATATAAAATATATACGAAAATTGGCCATAGATTAGTTATTAAAAATATATTTATTATACATATTTTTTATATATTTGTATATTTTTTATAGATTTTTAATATATTTTTTATATATTTCGAAATATATATTTTTTTTTCATGGGGGTAGGTTGCAGTGACAAAATTTGGTATCTTGAAAGTGATGTTGTTATTTTTGGTCGCTATTCTGTGTGATCGTCTGATAATAGGATCTTCATCAATAAATAGACCACGCAAAAATTTACTTAAGAAAATTTATTTGAAATTTAATTTTTAAATTATATTAAATTTTCGAAGATATTATTATGGATTTATAGAATTAATTGGAATAATTTTTAATAATATGAATTTTTTTAATTTTGAGTTTAGATTAAAAAATCGATACATACAATGTGATATAGATGGAATTTATTTAATAAAATTTGAAAATTAAAACTTTGATTTTTTAATCATTCATTTGGATTACTAATTTAATTTGTCGAATTATTACGGAGATATTATATGATGTATGCTTATTTTTTTTTTTTTTTTTTTTTTTTTTTTTTTTTAAGGTGAAGAAGAGAAGGTTCTAACATTTGAAGCAAAGTCTCTAGTACGAGATGACTACCTTTTATACCAACATACGAAGTTCTTCAACTTCTGTTGAAGTTAACGATTATACTGCAATATTATGTTAAGATTTAATCTTTTTATGTAATGATTTTTTTTTTATTTTATTTAATTTGATAGTCGCTAATAAAATTAAATTTGAATAATAATAATAATAATTTTTCAATTTCATTGTAAAACCTTTTTTATCATAAAAAAAAAGTAAAACTTTTTGGCAAATTTCCAGTTGCCATTAATCATCAGCTTTCACCGAGAATCAACAGCAAAAATGCAAATATTCGACCATTTAAAAAGAAAAAAAAAAAATAATAATAACTGATATTAATTATTAATACACAAAAATTTCATTGAGTCGGAAGGATTAGTCACCGCAGTAATTAATAAAATTTTTTATTGAGTATCGTTCGAGCATTTATATATTAACAACAATTAATGCGAAGGTATACCTTATAAGGAAGAATATAAATTATATAAAAAAAAAATTAAAATAGCGTGAAGAAGCCACCGGTGCGGCTTTAACTTTTTGATGAGCTCTTGGTATGTTTCATGCATGTATTCAAATCCTGTATCATCTATGCAGAGACGAGAACAAAAAGGAGTGAGATAAAGAGCATAGCTAGATCCAGTACAGGGCGCTGACCGCGCGTCCTATAGCACTTCCAGTTTCACCGCAATGCAGGAATATCTTGCTTTTATTTTGTCTAAATCTTTTTAATTTTCATTTTAATCATAAACTTGCTAATTTAATTAACGAATCACCTCTATTATTCATAAGTTCTTTTATTAATTTTATTATTATTATCAGTATTGATATTGGCTTACAGTTATTCTACGGTATTGATTTAATTGCTTGGTGCGTCATTTTTTTTTCTAGTTGTTTTTAAAAAAATTCATTTGAATAAAATTATTTATTTTTATTGCTTATATTTAGAAGGTAAAATATTATTAATAATTAATTTAAATGATTTAAATTAGATTTAAAAATTTTTATCCTTATTTTGAGTCATACTTATGATTTAAATGTAATATTAGTAATTAAGAAAAAAAAAAAAAATTAGTGTAAAGATTAAAAAACTTTTTCAAATTAGCCGCCTCTTTTATTAACACGCCCCCTTTTACCGAATTAATAAAACAAATTACGGAAAATGGCGACTAAAAAATAACTTACCGGTTTTAGTTTAAAAATACTTACCGTAAATAAACAATTGAAATTAAATTACTGATTTTTTGTAAGATTTTCCCAAAAAAATTTTAAAAACTAATGAAACAAATTTCAAAAAAATTGACCAATTTTCTGAAAAGATATCATCAAACCCGCATCATGATGAACATAACCCAAAATTTTGTTAAGGAATTAATTACCAAAATTAAGTAAATAAATAATTTGTATAAAAAGTGTTTATTTACAATTATTAGCAAATATTACATTTAACATTTAAACAATTTGTACAGTAGTTTATTTTTATACTCTATTCCAAATAATCGATCGAAGTAATGTAATTATAAATAATATCACATTGTTTTTTGCATATTAAATATAACATAGATTGTTTGTTACGCTCTCTCATTGAGCACTCACAATTGCAATTACTAATAAAAATAATTATAAATTATGATATTAAACAGATAAATAGTTTAAAAAAGTGTGCGAATCAATAATTTCATTCTTCATTTACAAAATCAATATAAAACTTATTAATTTTATGTACAAAAGGTTAATGTACAAACTATTTATATAAATTTGAAACATTTTTGTTTGTCGTGCGATATCCGAGTTTTGAAGAGAATCGAATCTGCTCGGTACTGAGTATTTAGTAGTGGCATGTATCCAAATACCTAAGAGGCAAAATTGGTATTGTTAGTAATTAATTTATTATTTGTCATTTATATATATATATATATATATATATATATATATATACTCCCCCTATCACAAAGATTTGACAAAATCTTCGTATCTAAATAATATAAATACTTGTATGAAAAAAAAAAAATTTTTTATTAACATGTTTTTTATTAGCTTGATTTGTATTTATGTAATTTTTACCGACTAAGACGCCTGATAAATTTGAAAACTTAATCCTTATGACCCTGATCAGGACACTAGAAAAAAGTTATTAAATAATTGTTCTACCATCAGTCTTTAAGGTAGTACCTCCACAAAAAGCATATTTCAAGAAACTTATGGAATTTTTTTTTATCGAAAGATAAACATATTAATAATTCACCAGCAAAATTTCAGATTAATTCACCGCACCGTTTTTGAGTAATTAATTTTTGAAATTGCATCTTTTACACATAGAGGTATAGAGAGATGGTATGAAGTTAGTATGAAATCTTCCGTACCACTCGGATGATTCAAATAGATTTAATACTAACTTTACCATCTCTACATACCTCTACGTGTAAAAGATGCAATATCGAAAATTAATTACTCAAAAATTTTAGTGGTGAATTATTAATATATTTATTTTTCGATAAAAAAAATTCTATAAGTTTCTTGAAATATGCTTTTTGTGGAGGTACTACCTTAAAGACTAATGATAGAATAATTTAATAAATTTATTCTAGTGTCCTGATCAAGGTCATGAGGATTAAAAAAAAAACGAATGAAAAATTTTAGAGGTCATTGATACCTTCTATATAATTACAGTGAATTTTGTCCTTTTTTTAATTAAGAATATTAAAATCTAACACAGGGTTTTTAATTATTTTTAAAAATTTTAAAATAAGTTATAGTTTAAGAAAGAAAAATTCGGTTTGATATCAAAAAGTAGAAAATAAGTTTAAAAGAAAGAGAGTGGCAAAAAATTAATGTTTAAAAAAAAGCGTCGAGTGCTTTGTATGGAAAATTTTTTTGTAAAGACTACATAAGACAAGTTGTGGGTGCAGATAATAATAAGTAATTTATTTTTGTATGTTGTAACAATAAAACAGTTTTGATATTATGGCAGAGTTGTTCAATTAGTTAAATAAAACAGTTTAGCTGAGTTAACAAATTGTTTTGTTGTGATTAAAAACATTTTTGTAGCCTAATTAGAAAAAATATTTTGTTCTAGTAACATTAATTAGTTAGATGGTGTAACAAATTTTTTTATTAAAGTAGTTGAATCATTTTGTTAAAATAACTCATAGTAATTGCAACAAAATTAATTTTGTTACGGTAACAAATTAATTTTTTTTATTTTGACAAAATCAGCACAGTATAAAATTTTGTGTTAGATATTTAATACTTTTATGTTTAAATTCAATATTTTTTTTTCAGTTTATTGCCATAAATTAAATTATTTATTGTGACAAAATATTTTTGTAATTTTAACGAATTCATTCATATAATAACTTTAATTTACATTATCTAAAAGCACCACACTTTTTTTTACAAAAAAAAATTCCTCGCTATTAGATCTTTTTATATTAAACTTTAAAATCATTTTTTAATTTTTAGTTTAATTTTTTAAGCTAAAATTTATTTAAAAAAAAAAATAAAAAATTGACTATTTATTAGATATCATACCTGAGCAAAGAAGTTGATACACTTATGCCGTTCTTGAAAGTGTGTATCATCTTCAGACAACGAAACGGGGCAACCTGGACACCTGAACGTCCACCGTGAAGTTACCTAGAATATAAAATGAATAAAATAAAATTTAACTAATCAGAAAAGATTTAAATAATAAGTGAAGATATTTTACTTTGACGGGAGGTTTCCGCGTGAGATGCGAAACCAAAAAATTCATGGCAATATCTTCGCAGTTCATGTACTCATCAACCTTGTCCCTGATTGCCTGGGGCAGCCAGTTGGTGTAAAGATACATGTAATGCTTGTGAATAAATGCTGCGCCCGTCAGTACCATCGACAATTCACAGGAATAATTAGAGTTATAGTTCCACGAGTTGTGGAAGTTTTGATCCCAGGCGTGGTAGCGTCCGGGGAATCCAACAACGCGGTCTCTGTGCTCCCGCCATACCCTAAAGAGAAGGAACCACAGATTCTGATTATTTTGATCGATGGAAAATTTTAATTAATTAATGCCAAAGTTAGTTAGTTACCGAAAGCCAAACATTATTTCGTCATGTCTCAGATGGGCGTCGTCGTCCACGGACAACACTGCTTCTGTTTCGATCGTATCGAAAGGTAGGAATCTGTTGTTTAAACTGTTTCTCAAGGCTTTGATCACCTGAAAAAAATCAACCATTTAGAGAAAAAATGGAACTTTAAAGCTGAAAAAAGTTTTGATTGATTTTGAATTTCATATAAAATTTTAATTTTGAAATGAAAAAAATTAAACGAAATTTTGAAGTCAGATGCGGATTCAAAATTTTATTTTAGTTCAAATTATGTGAATGGAATAATTTCATATTTATAATTAATCGAAAGAATTTGTCTCTTTGCATCAGTCATGTGAAAAAATTTATATTTTTAAACAAATATGGCCTATAATGAATTAAAAAAAAATTCATTATAATTTTCTTACAATGTTTTGTTTTAAATAAATTTTCTTTGGAATAATAATACCACAAAGTTGAAAGCTAAAAATATTTTTCATTCTGATTACTTAAAAAAAATTTATTAAATTAAATTCACTTTTTTTTAAACATTAACAATTTAGAAATTTCAAGTATCTACGTGTTAAATAAATAATCGCTAAATTAAAAATTCAATCATTCAAAACAAATAATGATTTCACAAAAAAATTGAGATTGGAACTAAGCCGGGAATTGAACCCAGATCTCTTTGATTACATGTCAAGCGCTCTACCCGGGGAAAACGGTTTAGATCTGACCAGATATAATTATATCTGGTCAGATCTAAACCGTTTTCCCCGGGTATTATATTTAAAAAAGCTTCCATATAATCTTCAATCCGCATTTAAAGAATTAAAAAAAATCCCAGATTTTTTAAAAATATTTTTATCAGAAAGTTAATGATTTTATAGGAAATTTATCATCATACTAGTCAAAATTTTGAACTTTATATGAAATTCATAGCGAACCAAAATTTTTTCTAGACTTAAATATTCCACAATTAAAAAAGATACATACAACAATAGGCACGCCAATGTCAGGCCACCTGAGATCTTCGATCGGAGGCTTGGGACTGTTCCAAACAACCAAAACTTTGTTCAAATAAGGCAGCCCGTACAACCGAGCCAGCGAATTAATCAAAACTTGCTCGCGTTCGTAGGTCAGTATAACAATAGTGAATTGTTCTCTTGGATAATTACCACCTAGTGATTCGCTAAACTCTTTGCCAGCGCCACCAGCTCCTTTGCCAATGGGCCTGAACCCGACCTCGGACCCTAGAATCATTCTCCCCTAAAAACTTCCACCAAAAACTTTCACCAACAAAATAACTCCCCAAACTTACCAACAAATTTAGCGTCACTAGAAAGCACCGTATCAAAGGGCAATTGCGGGTACAGATAAAAAGGATTGACCCACTCGTTCCAAATCTCATGCCCGTGGATCAGCATAATCGTGTAATTCCTCTTGAAAACCGGGGAGGGATACGGAGGCTCCAGCGGACCTAAGCTCTCTTCAGCCTCAGGCTCCGCGACAATTGCGTCAGATTTAATCGGTACAAAAGTCTCATTAAAGACACTAGGACTTGGAGACTGGATCGCCGGAACAGCAGGGATTCCCAAACGATCGCGAATTGAAGCTACGATAGTGTCAGCAGCACCCTGAGCAGTGGCCATGTATCGCTCCCAAATGAGCCTGCCTTGACGACGCATGAACAGCAAATCACTGTCAGGAATTGCACGGAGCAAGAAGTGCATTTCAGTGACTCTGGCTTTGGGCAGAAAAAGCACAGCTCGTCTCCAGGCGATTACTTCGTTGTAGCTGAGGTAAATCTGATCACCACCCAGAATAACAGGAATCGCCCCAGACCTGAGCGCTTCATAAATCCTCGCCTGAATCGAAGAAGTAGTGACAAAACTGGAGTTACTGGGTGCCAAAATCAGTACAAACGTCGAATCCTTGAGGATTTCCTTTCTGGAAGACTCGGTACCACAAAGCGTCCAATCTAAAAGCTTCCCTCTGACGGAGTCATCAGTGGCTGGTATGCACTCGAATTGGATGAAGAACTTGTCCATGGTAACTCCAGTGGTCATGTCATTCAGGTGCTGGACGATGAACTTGTCCAGGTTGTTTTCATCTTCAACGCGCTCAAGGTCTATCTCCGCATCATCAATTGGTCTGCTGGTAGAGCCGGATGATGACAGCGACTTGGTGGTCTTAATTTCACCTTGGAAGGACAGCAAGTACTTGCGACGAGCTGGGACCATGGAAGCGCATTCCTGCCAAACGTCGCCTCCAGGAGGTCCGAGGATTGGCGGGACTATGATGTCAAATCCTGGACGGTATTGGTTTCGTAAGAAAGTCGACTGGACGATTATAGCTCGCCCGGTGTCGGAATTGTCCAGCATGTTGCTGGAGTTTATTGAGAGATCACGACGAGATAGGTTCAGCAGAATGTGGTTTCGTCCGTCGCCACCCCAGTAGGGGAGCGAGTGGAGCTTTTTCACGTGCAGGGGATGAGGGAAGACTTGGTGGCTGGGTCCTTGGCTGTTGGAAGGCAAAGCTTCGCCAATTAGGAGAATGTAGATGCATGCTTCAGCGGGATTTGAAGTTAGGTGGGCGTTGTAGCCGAGGGTTTGTTTTATGGTTGTCTTTAGGAACCCGTCTATGTCCCAGGTGGGGTTTATCACGGAAAAGATGTCGGGGTCGTAGAGATAAATAGGGAACCCGCTGGTCAAGGCACATCGGCTGTGGTCGAAGCAGTTGAACATCCGGCAGGAAGAGGATTCGCTAGAAGTGAATTTGAGGTTGGTTGGAAGCGAATTTATCAAGATTCGACGGGGTGGCGCTAATTCAGGAGTGTTACGTTCGATAGCTTCGCGATGGGCTGCTTGCGCTTGAACCAGGCTCATTTTCAAACGGTCCAGGTCAGTTTGTTGGTGGATCAATTCTTGCTTTAGATCGTCGATTTTTTGGTTGAATCCTGAGACTTCGAGTTGCAGGCGCTGGCGCTTTGCTTCCAAGTCTCGGAGTTCGTTGCTCACGGATACTTTTATACGCAACATTTCTTCTATACGGAATTTTAGGTCTGAGGCTTTCATTGATGTGAAGTCGTCGAATGCTTCTAACCTGGTACGATGCATGTCCATGCCGGATGCATTTGTTTCCACCTTCAATTATGGGAGTTATAATTTTGGATTATCAGGCGAGGATTTTTTGGAGCTTTGGAAGATTTTGAGCTCTATGGAAGGAAAGAAATAGGATTCGAAGTGTGTTAGGTACTCAATTTAGGTGATTGGTTTAAGGTTTACTATAGTACTGTCGATTCTATAAGTATCAAAGTTAAAATAACAAGTCTTGAAATTTTTTATTGATTAATACTATATCAAGTGACATTTTAATAAAAAAATTTTTTTTCTTTTATCATATAAGAATGTTGGAAACGTAAAAATTTACTGAAAAAATAAAAAATAAATATATTTAATAAACGATATTTTGGCTGTAAGAATTGAATGTTTCAATCAGAAGCTTTTGGATAAAATAATTACAAGTTTTTTTTTTAATTTGAGAAATTATTGATATTTCTGATTGAACAAAATGATTTGATATGAATAAAAATGATTAATTTTCTAATCCTGATGTCAAATCATGCAAATTATTTTAGATCATATCTTTTATGGGCAATTAACATTGTGAAATCATCTGTATTATTGAGAGAATAAGCTAAATTTTGCGGTCAGTGTATTTATATGATAAAATGGATTTTTTTGGTTAAATTTGGTGTCATTAGAAAAATCTTGACGTGAAGTTATGCCTTTTCAAGGTTTCATATCATTCTCACCAATAGTCTAAAGTCAATTTATTATTATAAGTATTTAAACTGCATTCGAAAATGCTCTATCTCTAGATACATATTTAATAAATGACCTTGTATCTTGTGAACTATTGACATTTTATAAGATATAAGCTCATATTGACATTATACTCATCGAGACCTTTCATTTGAGTACCCACATCAATTTTTAATATATTTATAAATATTGTATATATGTATATATGAAAAATATATGAAAATGCATGTGGGTACTCAAATGAGAGCTCCTGATGAGTGTAACATCGGGATGAGCTTATATCTTTAAGAAGGTCAATATTAAATATAAAAAAGTACAGTGCAATTTGATAAAAGTCATCTATATTATTAAGAGAATAAGCTAAATTTTGTGGTCAGTGTATTTATATGATAAAATGGGTTTTTATGGTTAAATTTGGTATCATTAGAAAAATCTTATGATAAAAAAGTACAGGTGCAATTTGACAAAAGTCATTATTTAATAAAGCAAAATTTTATTTATTTATAGTTCGCAAATCACGGCAGTCACATAGTGACTGCAAGGTTGCTAGTTTCATTTAATAAGGTATTACATAATGGAATAAATTGATTAATAATTTTATTTTATTTGTAATTTTTAATTGAAAATATGAATCTCGATATATTGAGGTTCCAAAATTCTTAAAAGAAGTTTTAAATGTTTTATACCTGAACTAAAAAGTTATAAAATAAAATTAAAATAATTTTTAATACATATCCTTTTGGTTTTCAAAATTTGTATGTCTTAAAGCTAAAAAAGGCATAGATAAAAAAATTTTTTTCAATAAATTTTTACACTTGCAATATTCTTAAGTTGATTAAAATAAAAATAACTTTATCAATTCTGTGGAATGTGATTATATCATACACCTGATTTATCTCTTAAATCAGTCAGTCTCATTACAAAATATTTCTAGAAAAATCTAAAAATTTGTAAATTTTCATAACAAACTAAATAATGAAAATAAAAATTTAATTCTTACCTTCGATAAATAGTAGTGCGCAAATAACGAGACAACAAACAAAATTAACAGCATTATTACGATAATCCTTGATAGCTTAATGTGTGATATCCAATAGCACATTTCTCGACGATTAGTGCTTTGGTAGAATAAAGACGCCGATTCTAATGTACCTCCAGCCATTTTATAATAATTTATCAAAATTTTAATCTCAAAATTAATAATCTCGTTGCTAACTGCCCATTACTAAAAACCGGAAAAATTCTTTAATACGTGACTAGCAATTAATTTCTATTGTTGCAATCCATCGATTATTAAACAAGAAGCGCATTAGTAAACAAATAAAAAATGACTTAACTTACTCATAAGAATACCGTTAAATTGTTAATTGATAAGTTGGAACGACAATCACCTCATTGTTATTTAAAAAGACAATTTACTGACTCTATTTCGTCACGCAAAAAAAGATATAATTTATCATCGGTTAAAAAAACTTTAAATTCTTAATGCTTTTTGCTCAATGGTGAGGTTAAATAATGTTTACAGCTAAATTGAACACTGCACTGTTGTTATGGTTGGAAAAAATGGAATTTTGTGATTACAGTATGATAGAAAAGCGCTTTACCGATCGTGGCAAAGATATTATTTGCTCCAAATGGTAAACAACGAAGTCATGAAAGAACCTTTCGCATATGCCTCTTACGGAAGCGTTCTTAAGGACGCTCGGCTTTTTTAAAGCGGTAATTCGAATATTTAGTGTCGTCTTAAAGATAGGTCAATTACGGAAAAATAAAGAATTTTTTGAATTAAAAATTGAAATATTAACGATTATTGTCGTACATTTTAGAAAATTTTGGAAAATCCAAAAATGCACGACGCATAATGCTCATTTAATTGTGAAATAATAATAGAATAAAACATGTGAAAAAAAAATTTAGTGTAGCTTAAACCAGACGATAATGCGCAAGAGCTTATAATAGAATAAATTTTCATAGTACATAAAAGTATACAGCCTTTTGGTTTTTTTATTTTACTAATTGCAATTAAACGACAATGAGGAGTAACCTGAACATTCGCAATAGGGTACCTAAAATTCTTTAAAAGAATTAAAAAAACAAAAATTGACAAACATTAAAACTTATTTGTTGTATGAAATTATAATTTATTATAAGGAAAAAGATTATAGTAATTTTTGAAATCTCTAAACACGAATTTTTTAATTTTTAAACGACAAGAAACAATTTGTTTATTTTTATTCAATAAAAAAAAAATGAAGAATTCATTCACTGATAGAAGGATGTAGTACGGAGTACTAAACTGATTTATTAACAAAATTTTTATTCATTTATTTGGGAGAAACAAATATTTTGAACCCATCAATATTATATGTTACAGTTTAATAAATGATTTCTTTATATTATATGAACAAAGCCTTATTACATGCAAATAAATATTTATTTCCACAAAATAATATTTAGTAACAGGTACTAAATATTTCTTTGGCAAGTATTGTCGGTATAAATGTCTTCTATTTATGTCTTCTCTCAGTGGAGTTTAGTTTACATTTTTTAATTTGTCTATTATTATTGATATGTTAAAAACTTGTTTAATTTTAAATTTTATAAATGTCTCCAAATAAAAAAATATAATTTAATGAGATTCTTTTCTTTATAATACTTTTTATTTTTACTCAAAATTATTTATTTTAATTATTTTCATTTATTTTAAGTTAAAAAGTTAGGTTACACGCTAAAATTAGTTTAAAAATTAATTTTTTTGATACCATTAAACAATTTATTAAGTAGCAATAAATCATTTGTTAAATACAACTAAACATTTATTTAATCGTGGAACTAAATGGACTTTAATAAATGATTTAGTACCTACTACTAAATATTATGTCTCCAAATAAAAAAATATAATTTAATGAGATTCTTTTCTTTATAATACTTTTTATTTTTACTCAAAATTATTTATTTTAATTATTTTCATTTATTTTAAGTTAAAAAGTTAGGTTACACGCTAAAATTAGTTTAAAAATTAATTTTTTTGATACCATTAAACAATTTATTAAGTAGCAATAAATCATTTGTTAAATACAACTAAACATTTATTTAATCGTGGAACTAAATGGACTTTAATAAATGATTTAGTACCTACTACTAAATATTTGGTAATGAAAGGTTTGTTACTAAATCATTTAGTATTTGTTACTAAATTTTATTAAATAGAGCTAAATCATTCTATCAGTGTTCATCGGAGTTTTATTTAAAAATAAAATTTACTCCCAAAATTTTTTACTCTATAAAAAATTAATAATCCTTTTTTAACTTAGAGATTTAAAGTTTTACGGTCAATAAAATATTTCCTAAAAAATAATTAATTTTTAGAAGCATAGTCCTTAAAAGTAAAGGTAAAACTTATTTAATAAATTTGTTGACTAAATAACAGTGATGTATTTGTTTAAAATTATTGCAAAAAAAAAGTTTTTTTTTTTTTATTGCTATATATTAGTAAGAAGAATTGATTATAATAGTTTATTGAAACAAACATAATTAAAACATGGATCAGAAGATAACATGGAGTCTAATAATTGCGGGCGTCGTTGTTATAGCAGGCGTTGCAATTTGGGGCATATGGTTCCTGTTGAAAGGAAGAAGAGACCCAGAAACGAAAAACAAGCTGAGGAAGGAACTTAATGAGGCCATTGAGACAGCTTCAGCTGATGCAGTGACTAAATTTATTGATGAAATATCAGATAGATTTATAAAAAATAAAACAAATTTAGATGCAGTAAAAAATGAAGTAACAATAACACTTGTTGCAAATGACATAACAAGTAGAAAAACCGAGTTAGTAAAAAAGTATACCAAAGCGGATGATACAAGTGCCATTAATGGTGTTGATAGTTCAGGCAATACAGGCCTAACAACCGCTCAAAAAAAAGTTAATGCCGCGATAGAAGAAAAAGCGAAGGAAATCGTTGAAGATCTAATATCGGAAAAAATTAAGGAGAAGGCAAGTTGTCTGAGCGAAAAATCGGCGAAATCTGCTACAGACGATGACGTCTGGAAGCTTGTTGAAGGATTAAGCGATAAGAAGAATGCTAAGGCTAACATCATTGAAAAAGCTAGAAATGCAGCTAACGCAAAATTAAAAGAAATTGTCACTGATCCAAAATGGACTGTGGTTGAAACCGCTGTCAAAACTGAAGGTAATACTGCTCTAAAAGATAAACTAAGCGAAATTACGAAGAAGAAAGACGACTTTATCGACGACGCTATCCTAGAAGTAGCCAAAGTGACAAAAAAATAAGTAACCTTTCTTGATATCGAAAATAAGTAAACAGAATATTGTTACATTGACACGACATTTATTAAAATAGATTTATTTAGTAGGAAACTTTCCAGCATTGACCGTAAGAACTATTGAGAAATTACAATTGATACCATTATTCAATATAACATTGTGAAATTTTGCTACCATTTTTATCGACACAATTAACTTTATTTGCAATGGTAATAAACTAATTACTTTCTTATCCATTATTTAGTATTTCTAATTTGTAAATTTCGAGAATTTAATAATGTTGCTGCGAATGCACCTCCCGTCACAGAATAATAAAATTTTCGTAAAATTTCCTGTTTTAATCATTGACAATGCAATTTTATTAAAATTAACATTAACACATTATTATTGTTATTGGAAAAAAATAAATTTTTTTTTCAAAATTTGTAATAAGATTATTTTACGATTTAGTATAATTCTAATTCGAACTTAAAACTATTTTAGACCCTTTTGAATTTTTAAATATTTTTCGGCCATGTAGTAAAAAACTTTAATTCATTATTTAAAATATTCTTATTAGTTTATTATTGTTTATTAATAATTTTATGTGTTTAACTGCTATTCATTTTATTCTAATAACAATTTATATATTAATTAGATTTGCCATTAGTCCTAATATCTACGGATTTTTTTTGAATCATAAATACCATTCCAGAAATTCCGAAGAACATTCTTTAGGATCTTTCGTTTTAAAATAATGATTACTTGTAAAGATAAGTATTTCATACATTTATTGTACATGTGAGGACAAATAAAAAGGAATTATGAAATTTTTTTTTAATACAGAATTATGTAGGGGAGGGGAGGGGGGGAAAATGGGGTACAAAAAAAAATTTTAGATGTGAAAAATAAATTATTATGATGCACAATGACGATAAAAATTATTGCACAGTAAAAAATTTTTCGTCAATGTGTAAAATGTAAAAATTTTTGTGTAGCATATTACACTTTAGTGTGTATAATTTTACATTCTCATGTGTTGATTTAACATACTAGAATGTAGAATTGACATTAGTTTGTGTAAAAACAGTCAGTAACACAAATATTTGTGTTAAATTTGACAAAAATTTTTTTGTTTTTTAATTAAAAAATTTTTTTTCCTCTGAAATTGTAGGAAATGACGTTAAAATATATTTTAGAAAGCTAAAAGAGCTTTTTGGAAAAAAAAATTTTTTTTACGAAATTTTGGGGGTACCCCATTTTGCCACCCCTACCCCATTTTGCCCCCCCCTCCCTTAAATTTCTTAGTCAAGTTTGAAAATACACTTTTCCCAAAAATTAAGGGAGCAAGAAAGAAAATCGAAATTTTTGAGCGTTTTTCAACAGGCTTTCACTTGAAGCGAATTTTTATTCGTTAAATAAATCTACTAAATTTATCAAGTTACCAAGTATACGCACGGAAAAAAGTAACCTGTAATAAATAATAGTCGATTTATAATAAGTAATGATCAACTGCTAAAAATTACCATTTCAAACAGTAAAATCGTGATTTTAATAATCACTATGTAATATTTATCATTTAAATGCTATAATTTATTCTTTACATGGAAGAAAATACTGTTTCAAACAGTAATATTGGCTATGTCATTGTCGAAAATGTTAAAGTATAATAATTAATAATTTTGATTTTGATATTTATCATTTCGTACCTAAAAAATAATTGCATTATATGTAAAAAGTATAAAATACAGTTGTTCAATTTCTAAAACAAGCAACGTCAATATTTACAAAGTAAAATGGTAAATTTTAAACGCAACGCTAAAAATCAAACTATAATTATTGACTTTCTTGGACTGGTAAAATATATATTTTAAGAGTAGAATTTTTACTGTTTCGAATGCTAAATTCTCCCAGTGTAAGACCCCCTTCTCCTCATCTGAGTTCCCCCTTCTCCTCATAGTATGGACTATATATTGAAACGGCAATTTTTACTGATTGAAACTGTAATTTTTTAAGATAAGTGAGTCGTTATTTACTATAGTGACAGCTATTAATCACTTATTTTTTATATTAAATTATAAATTGTGGCTTTTACACTTTCTACATTCTGTAGTAAGTTCTGTAATATTTATATTTTTGCCACCCCGATGTCCGCTTTACTGTTTGAAGCTATAAAAATTAACCGGAATCCGAGTGGATTTTACACAGAAAAAAAAAATTTACTTTAATCAAGTAAATAATTTTGAAGCATTTAATTTTCTTGGTATGAGTTAAAAAATTCTTAAACTAAAAAATTTTACTTAGTTTAAGTAAATTTTATTTGATTTAAGAATTTTTTATCTTAATCCTAGACAATGAGCTTCTTAAAAATAATTTTTTTGGTTCAAGAAATTCACTCTTGATTGAAGTTAATTTTTTTTCCAGTGTTTACTTTTTTCCGCGTGTATATTATAAATGTCTTCTCGATCTCTTTATCAAATTACAATTATAAGAGTTTAAATTTCTATCCTGGTGAGTTGCAATTTGAATGAATAGATAACTTATCTTTTACATTTGTCAATTTAATGACATTAATGTAATTGTTCAGTATTATTGCTAAAATAATTTTTTTTCGTCACTGTATAGTAGTAAGAAGAACCGATAAACAGCTAACTGAAGCAACCATAATTTAAAAATGGATAATAAATTGAAATGGAGTCTAATTCTCGCAGGCGTAATCATTGTAGCAGGCCTTGCGATTTGGGGTGTGTGGGTCCTGATGAAAAGTTTTCGCGATAAGCAAAAGGAGAAACTTAATGGAAAACTTATTGGTTGGGTTATCCAAGCTTCTCATGAAGCAGTAGAAGAATTTGCTGAAAAAAAAGGAAAAGAAGTTTTAGAGGATACGGGTCTAGTGACTGAGATCGCAGGTGAATTAACCATAGATAATTTTACTACAGATAATATAAAGGATTCTATAGATTCAGTAGCAGAGAGTGTTATTAAACCGGAGAATAAGAAGAAAATTACGGATCTCAAAACGAATGGCAAATTAGATACCGCTAAAAATAAAGCTAATGCAATAAAAGAAGATGAGATTAAAGCTGCAGCAAAAAATAAAATAAAGGATCTAATGATTAAAGCTGTCAGGAAAGAACTTGAAGAAAAATGTAATAAGGAAGCGAAATCGGCTACAGAAGATGAAGTGAAAAAAGTTGTTGAAAAAGAATTTGATGATCAAAATGACAAAACGAATATCATCAAAGAAGCTAAGAAAGCTGCTGTTAGAGAAACGGAAAAATTTACTCCCGACCAATTTGATGCCTTAAAAAAGGGCATTAAAAAAGACGCTAAGACATCTCTTAAAAGATCGGAAGATGTGATTAAAAAAATAATTATTTACAGAGCTATCAAGCAAACAGCCGATGAATCAGAATAATCTTTGGTGATATCGAAAATAAATTGTTACTTTGACAAAATATTTATAAGAATATATTTAACGTAAAATGCAAAAAAAAAAAAGTTTATAATTAATTTTCTCGATTTATAAAAAATTATTGACTGTTAGCGTTATTGAGAAATCACAATTAATTAATTTCTATTGATAACATTAAATTTATTTGCCGTGGCAATAAGCTAATTGCTCTTAAGAGTATAGTTTAAAATTTTTAATTCCTTTATTTTAGTAATTATGATTAGTTGTTAAAAATTTACTTCTTCCGGTTAAAAATAATTAATATTTTCGCAGTATGTGCTGAAATTTCAGTCACGATTTTGCAATTACATAGAAATTAAATTTGATGTATTATTAGAAGAAAGAAAATTTTTTTAACTATTTAATTGTAGCTAAGGTAGTATTACCGGTTTTAGAATTTACGTTCAGAATTTGATGAAACTTGGCATATAGGTACATAATAATATCTTAATTAACCACTTAAATTTTTGAAGGGCTACCGAGATCTGAAAAAAAGATATTAATATTTACATTTTGTTGCCTTTACGATTGATCCTTATGGTAAATCACAGAGTTTATTTTATTTCGCAAAACTGGACGTTCAGATTCTTATAAAAATTAAGACAACGAGAAAAAATAACATCTAGAACATATTTAATAACAATCAGTATGCTTTCAGAGAATATGAGAATATTTGTTAATAAAAAAAAACAGGTAAGAAGTGAAACTTCTTTATGACATATATTATTTTTCTAAAATTTACAACTTCAAAGAAATTGGGTAGATAAGGCTTAAGAAAAAAAATTTTTCCGTATTAAATTAAAGCTATTTTAGTATTATAGCCGCATACAAATAATATGAGTGATTCCTTTTATCATTGCTCTTATTATAATTATTGTATTTCATCAATTATGATCGCATCGTAATTACCATTGTTGTCATATTATTTAGACTATGCCATTATTTAATTTAAAAATTAGTTAATCAGTTTACAAAAATTATATAACGAACTTTAATATTGATATATTTCATGTGATGACTTAGTAAAAATAATTCAAAGCAGATATTTAATAACTTACTCAATTACATTACTCAATTGTTTTTAGAATTAATAATGTTTACTAGATTTATTTTTTACGTCGCTATACTAAAAACTTTAATAAAAAAAAACAACATGGCACGTAACCGAAAATCGTGACGATTTTTTTTTACATTGCTAAAAAATTTCTCTCATAGGTTGATAAAGAAGTTTCACTTAAAAAAAATTTTTTTAACTATTTAATTGTAACTTTAAAAGAGCAAATAATTAATTGACTTGTTTTTTTTTTTTTTTTTTTCCCACTTAACATCGAGAAGTTTGATGGTGTTATATTGTAAGAAAAAAATTTTTTCTATGATGTATATTAGTAAGAAAACATAATTCAAACATGGATGATAAGATTAAACGGTATCTTATAATTTTAGGCACGATCGTTATGTTCGGTCTTGCCAGTTGGGTTATATGGCTCCTTATAAATAATTATCAAATTGATTACAAGACCTTGCAAGAACAATTCGATGATCTAGTTGAAAAAGCTTCAGCCGACGCTGTGAGACAGTTTGGTGAAGAAAAGGGAGACAAAATTTCAGCTGAAGATGTGGCTGATATTGCAAGTGGACTACCTAACATTGAAATAGTTGATAAAGATATAGAGAATGCGACAACAGCGGTTGCAAAGTGTGTGAAAGAAATGGACGACAAAAAAAAAATTTCAGAAGTTGATAAAGCTCAGGCCAAAAATTTAGCTCAAAGTAAAGTAGCAGCGGAGATTAATAATAAAGCAAAGGTAATTGCTAAGAAAGTGATGGTAGATATGATTCAGAAAAAAGTGGGGGAAGAGTGCAAAAAAGCGGCGAAATCTGCTACAGACGCTGAAATCAAGCAATTCTTTGAAAAACGATCGAATAATGAAAATACCGCCAAAACAGCAATTAGCAAGCATGCTAAGGAAGCAGCTCTTACTAAGGCTAAAGAATTACTCCAGACACCGAAGTACGCTATTGATAATGTGAATTTTAAATCTGAAGCCAAAAAAGCTCTTACAAATACAAAAGGAACTATTAAAAGAGATGTTGTGTACGCTGCTATCTTGGAAGTAGCAAAAGTAACGAAGTAATCTCTCGCGATAAGCTAGCAGTAGCAAAATCCATTTTGTTGATTGAATAATGAGTCAATGCATGATAGACGAGTCCATGTTGGCTTGATAGACCCCTCACGATCTCAGAAATTAATTAAGAGAATATTGTTACTTTAAAACAAAATTTATAGACATTAGCTAATAATATTTAAAAAAGATATTTTTAATCAGACAAAATATTGCCGCGTGATATTTATGACTAATAGAAAATCAATAACTATAAACACTAGCGAGAAATTGATATCTTTCTCATGATTGTAATGCTATTGGGAGAAAAAAAATTTTTTTTTTTCAAAATAGCTAGAAACGAATTTAATTATTTTACAAGTCAGGGAAGTTCTAACTGTGAAAAAAGTAATAGAGATGTGTAATTAAAAAATTTTCTGAGATGACATAACGTTTTATATGGCTGAAAAGTCCGTATAAGACTTAATATTATCAAGTGTGCCGATATATAATTTTTTCATAAAAGTTAGTGTTGAAAACCGCCAACAGGTGGCGCATGGTCGTTAGATTCTCTCCTTAGAAGAGAGTTAAGTTCGATACATTAAGTTATAAAATAAAAATTTTTGTTTTAACTCTTTTAAAAAGCTTATTTGTTATTTAATCAACTAATAAATCAATTTTTAGTTTATAAAACATAATAATAGATATATAAATTCCTAAAAAATTTAAAATTAATTTAGATTCTCTAATGTAGCCTGATATAACTAAACCAAGGTCATTAAACCGAACAAAAGATGTTTTGACTGGTAGTTTAAATTTTGAACTTTCCTATATTTCCAAAAGTATTTTTGACCAATTACAAAAATTATTACAGTCTAATATCTTTACCTTAACCTAATTTAATTTATTCCTCAAAGGTTTCAGTTTAAAATTCACTAAAAAATGGTAATCACAGCACGAAAGGTAGAAAAAGAAAGAAAGCAATGAATACAAAACAAAAATAATAAACAACCCAATCCTGGTCCCATTTAAACATAATTTAATAACCCAAAAATATTTTAAAAAATTCATCCATAAAAATATTGTTTACACTTATTCACGTAATAACATTATAAATCCACATCTAGTTCTACATCTAATTCCTAATTACTAACAGATCTGCTTCCACTGCCACTAGATCGTCCATTTCTGTGTTCAGGCTTAGCCATAACAGTGCCTTGGGCTACGCCGTAATGCTCATAAGCATCCTTTCCATATACAGATCCCGACGATGAAGTTCCAGATCCAGACAACGGAGTCGATTGCATCGAATTGATCCCCTGAATTGTGTGAAAGCTCTGCATCACTAATTGCGAAGCCACTGACATGGTAAGTGGATTTGGAATTAGCGGCAATTGCTGCGCTAATTTATTGCTTTCATTCCGTCCATTGTTGGCCGAATCCATCGTGGGAACCTGATTTATCAGAGGAAATTGAATTCCATGGTCCCGATTCTTCCTTATCGGCACTTGGGGACTTTTAGGAGGCGACTGCATGTAAGGAATCATTTCCACGTTCAATTCTTTCGATTGGACGTCCTCCCAAGCTGAATTCATCGCCAAATTCGCAGCATTGTTAGATTTGACCTCTTTGCTTGCTGAATCGACCATTTTCTCCTGAATTGGTTCGTTGAAACCAAGCTTAGCAGGAATTGGCGCGGAGTAAGGAGCTTTTGGAGCAGAAGATTGGTGCCCTGAATTATCCGGTCTTACAATTACCAAAGGAGAAACTGCAAGGTTAGGATCTCCATTGGGAAAGTTAGCGAATCGCGCGATAGTTTGCATTTCTTCGGCAACTTGCGGGGCAAAAGGGTTCCTCCTTTCGATGTTTCGCAAAGAGGGTCCGTGCGTGGATTTGGAACGTCTTTTGGAGCTCGACTCGTGAGGGCTGCTTCTTGAAGAAGTCTTGTCACTAGTAGACCTTCTAACTCTGACCTTCTCGCTGGTGATTGGCCTTTCTGGGCTCACTGAATTCTTGATACTAGGACGTCTTTCGGGAAAATGGCGGCCCTGCATGCTCCCGTTTTCGTCGGTATCGTTTTCATTCACGCTGTTACTGATATCCGGAAGCAAATCTTCCATGGCTGATTCCTCGTCTTCGTTTTCTTCGGTTATAGCGCTGGATTGGATCCACTCACGAATTCGGTCTTTCTTTCGCGACCTGTCCACCGTTGTTTCGATTCCGTATCGCGTTAAGGTGTACAGCAATTGGTTCTTTTCCTCAGGAGAACTGTGGAAGCTGTACATTGATGGGCACAATTCGTCTCTTTCGTCTGCTCCGCCTGAAATGAGAAACAACTGTAGGTTAATTTTTGGATTACAAGAAAGAAATTTTATTTTATAATAGGATCAAGGATGATTTTATTGTAAAATTTTCTCCGTGAAGGATTAATGAATATTTAGTACCATTCATCGATTTTTCGGCGCCCAATTTGCCCAACCACCGATCTTCAAGATATTTATTAGCTTCCAATACACTAACAGGTCGCTTTTCTAATTTAGGTTCTAGCAGTCTTTTGAACATTCTCTGGGCTCGTGAACTAATTAATTGAAAGAGCTTCGGTTTTTTGGCAATATTTAGCGTCGATGAATGCCAATTCAAGTAACGTGTGTATCTTTTGTCATCCATTGCTGCTTTTTGCCAAGGTAGACAACCTGTCAGGCAAACAAATAATACTATACCGAATTGCCAAACGTCATGGGCTGTTAGTGCTCTGAAATAATAGAAATTTTTTATTTTTTTTTTTTTTCAACTTCCCATGAAAAAAATTTATTGTTATCTTCATGAAAAATTTTAATTACTTGTAAGTATCATCTGGATCTACGTGCAAAACTTCTGGAGGTGAATATGGCAGCCATTCATTGTGCCTTCTTACAATAGTATTTATTCGTCGTGTTTCGCCAAAATCACAAAGTTTTATCCTCGAAAAGTCACTTTTAAACACAAGAATATTGTCAAGTTTTACATCTCGATGCACTAGCTCTCGGCTGTGAATATGATGAATCGCAGCGGCTAATTGACGGGCTACTTTTTTAGTGTGAAGCTCACCGAGACCTGTTTCTGTTACATTTGACGTCAAATCGCCTGAAATCAATTAAAACCATAACTCTATTTTATTTTACTTTTTTTTTTTTTAATTTTCCAAAGCTTTAGAAGTCAAGAAAAAATTCAGCAATTTTATATTATTTTAGTTATTAAATGAATTTATAATACTAAAATTATCCGACGTTTTTAATTTTTTTTCATTTATTAAATTAGAACTAAAAAATATTTTTTTTAAATTGCACTTATAGTTTTTTATGTTTTTTATGAATGAAATTTTTTTTTTTCTATTTTTTTGTTACAATTTTTCCAATAAAAAAATTTCTAAAAATTTTTAAATGGCTAATTTAATTTTCATTTCTTATTTTAGTATCATTTTTTTTTTTCGGCGTAATAATTTAGAAAAATAATTGATAATTTATCAATTTTCTTGGGATTGTCTTTTATTTTTTAATAAATTTAAATAATAAGCTTAATAAAAAAAAATTTTATTTTTATTTGAGACCCTAGTCTATTTACGGTAAAATAATTTATAGTAAAAAAAAAAGAACTTTTGAGTGCAATCGCAGCATCTGCTCCCTCCATATTATATCGGAATACTCGAGTACCTACTAAGAGTTAACACAACATTGAGTTAATGCAAGCGCAATAGATAGATAAAAATAAAAATAAGAGGTGAAAATAAAGATAAAAATGTTTTATTACCAAGTGGAGCATATTCTTGACTGAAAACATAAAACCCAGCAGTCTCGAAAGCAACGTCATAAGTTGTTATGATATTCCGATGTGCTGAAAGATGAAGGCCATAATGAAACTCTCGATAAAAATCAGTAATTGCTGTATATGCTTTTGGTAATGCCTTTAACGCCATTTCTGTTTGTGTACTCTTGTGTTCTGTTAGCAATATTTTTCCGAACCATCCTTCTCCTACTATTTGCAGTATATCGAACTCTTCGGCAAGATTCACCTAAAAAAAAAAATAAATTAGATATTTTACAGTAAAGCAAAATAAAAAAATCTTTGATATTTTTAACCCGATGAACATGTGCACCCTCATTCATACACGTGATTGTGATGAATGATTTAAAAACTTTTTTACGCGTTATTTATTGTGAATTTAAACAATATTTTCTTCGCGATCTAACTTAAATTTTAATACATCGTTCATTTTTAATTTATAAGTTTTTACACCCGTAATTTATGTGATTTATACACATGTAAATTATAGAATTAAAAAGTAGTAGTTATAGTTATACTTCTATTTCTAGAGATAGTAAATTGCACGTAAAGTGTGTATCTAAATAAAGGAATAGGGTCACAATGTTGAAATACTTGGAATAAATTTCCAAATTATTGCTGAAAATCAGTACAGTCACGTCATTTAGTGAAATTTATTGTTTTTATACTATAAAAATTTTAATATTCATAAAAAAAATTAATTAACTATAAATTATAAATCACAATACTCAAAATTAATTGGTTAAAAATTTTGTTGTAAAAATTATTGAAAATGTTTTTTATTTACTATTATTATTATATTTTATAATTGTATTTAAATTGAAGAATAGTATTTAATTATAAATTAAACACACTTTTTTTTTTTTAATTAAAAAATTTTTCATTCAAAAAGGTCAAAGAAAATTTTATCAAATTTATTCGGCCATTTTTAAGACAAAATTTTATGAAGAAGTTATTTTTTAGCTAGAATTTAAATCAATAAAATTTTATCAAAAATTTTTGAACATACTAATTAAAATACTATTTTCTTTGACTGCTAATTTATATCATTAAAATTGAAGGCCCTTTTTTAATCAAAATATTTTTGAAAAACCCGATTAATTTTATAAAAAATTAATATTTTATAAGCGTCAAAAAGAAATTTGTACTTGAATTTTTTTTATCAAAATTTTTCTAATCAAATAAATCATATTGCTCAATAAATTACTCAAAACTTAAATAACATCAACATCAAACACGTAAAAATTATAACCCCGGGAATTCCAAGAAGTATCCGAGCCAAAATTACATTTATTTGAACCGGAAAGCTCTTGGTTTGCTACCAAAAAATCCATCAAGTAAATCGCAAGATAATAATCAATAATCAATAACCAAAATTACCTTTTCTAATTCAAACTCGCGTATTCGATGGATAGAACCGCCAATAGCTTTTTTCGTCAAACTCATTTTACCCCAAACTTTTCTTCACTTGTTTATTTATCGTTCAAACAAAAAAATATGTGTCAGCTGAAAGCGAGCAAGACATATTTATTCGGCAATGATTTTTTGGACACGAGCCAAAGGGCAGCGTACTCTCCAGGATCAAGGAAATCACTGAGACAATCAAGCCATTTCTCAGTAAGCCATCACTTTTTCTTCTTTGTCCTCTGGCTTTTTTAATTAAATCAAATTTTTACCAAAAATTCATCACATAAATTTTTATAATTTCCAAAAAAGTGCCGCTTGCTTTTGCAAAAGTTTTTGGTTTATTAAACAGTCTAAAATAAAAATCTATGTACATATATATATCGATACATATCAAAATAGTTAATCACTGCCAAAATCGCACCGCTTAAAATATTAGCGAGTGTACATGTATAATACAGTTGTTGAAATATTATTCAATGACACTTTTAAAACAACAAACACCTTTATAATTATTAATAGTCTATTTACTCCTTCAATTACTTATACAATCACTCGTAATTATAATTATCAAAAAGATATCTTAATTTTAATCGAACAAAAAATAACAGGCTCGTTAATTTCCAAAATTTAACATAAAATATTTCGTCTAATTTTATTTTAAAATAAGGTATTGCAAAATTTTGAAATTCCGCCAATTTTATGTCTATTGTTCATGATTATGCTTCACAAAATATTTTAAATTCCTTTTGTGTCAAATTAATAAAATTAATAAAAACCAAAATTATCAAAAATTTGAAGAATTTTTTTTTTTTAATCAAAAATACAATTTTTAAAGATTTATTTTGGAGAACTTTTGTGTTAAATGTTTTGAAATTTTTGGGTGTGTTTTTTGGGTTTATTTATTTGTTTTATTTATCTGAACTGATAATACGGATATCGATGTATGTTGATATTTATAAAACAAATCTGGATGATATCACACGATTTTGGCTGTTGGTGCACTGAAACGTTTGTCTGCAGTATTTATAAAACATCGACCGGAAAGCGACTGAGCTGATTTTGGCGTCGAGCCGGTTTGTAAACCGTCGAGACGACGATCTGCACAACTAGACGTCAACGTTCACTGTTCCGCGAGCCCAGATTCATTATATGTATGTAATTTAATGTGCGGGATAAATAGCGATACATTGAATAAAATTTTCGATAAAAAGTTTAAATGACTTTATTTTATTTGTGCGAGTAGGTACGATAGGGCCAGTAGGCCAAGACTATACGCACAGTGTGTATCAGTATATTTCTATAGACATATATTAATAGCTAGTATTTATAGAATAAGAAAGTTAAAGAGAAAAAAATAGGTAAAATTTATTTTCGACTTTCTATTATTAATTTCTTTAGAATTGTTGTGATTCATCTGAGCAGTGATCTCCACGAATTTAAATTACGTCATTAGTCCAAATCCATTATGTATGTTTATTGCAAATTAGATAACAATTATAATTTTTTTAATAATTTTATCAATTTGTTTTGGTTAAAAAAAATTTTTTTAATGTAAAAGTGCGAAAAATTTATTTTTTGAATAATTGGAAAAAATAATGAGATCCAAAAAAATGATTATAGTCGACTATTTTTATGATTTTTGTGATCATACTTGTTTGTTTAATAACATATGCTTTATGTTTTTTGTTTTTCTTAACTAAAATCTATTATAGGTCAAAAGAAAATTTAAGATACCAAGATAAAGAATAAAATTAAAAATACATTAATTTTCTAACTTTAATTTTCTATGAACAAGATATTAGAGAGAAATGCCAGGAACAGAAATGTGTAATTAACTCTAGAATTAGAGAATTAAAAATCTATAAATATGTCAATAAATACACGATAAATTTTATTATACTTACAGTATATTTTAGTAATTTTTAACTAAAAGAAAATTCATTTTTATTTTAAATTTAAATTTTTATATTAGATTTATTTAATGTGTTATGTAAAGAAATTTTTCTTTACATATTTATTAATTATAAAAAAATCGAGTATAATTTTATTTAAATTTTAACGATTGTAAAAGATAATTCGAGAGTGGTCATTAAGTGTCTCGTTCGATCTTTGCAAAAGGCCCAGGGAAATTCCGGTAATTAGTCTGAGGGCCCAGGTATTTTAAAGAGATTAAATAGATAAATGGGAGTTTTGTTATACGTAAGCAAACTCACTTATACTTAAAGATAAAGAACATTAGATAAAAAGATTTATTTTAAACCAAAAGATTTTAGAATAACTTAATGACAGAATTTTAGTGTTGAGAAAAATATCGAAATAAATTTTAATAATGAACTTTCTGAAATAATTTTTAGACAACAAAATTAAATATGAAATGAAAAACAAATAAAAAAAATAGAACTTGAAAGTTAAATAATTAAAAATAAACAAATTTTAAACAATTGAATTCTAAAATAATACAACAAATTTATAAAACGATAAAACAGATATGATTTTAATAAATAAATTAATGTAGACAGTACAAATGTATGTCTTTGTCTATGCGTAAATGCGCTTACGTATACACAAACACATAGATGAATAATAGAACATAAGAGTAAGTGAGAAAGCATGTTGCACTCTGACCCAAGTAGAGGGACATGCAAAGTTTTTAGACGCAAATTTAAGAGAAAGGGTAAGGGCCCAAGAAAATAAATAAATAATTGGTCATTTGTTTCCCCCAAAGTGGAAATTAGTTACGCCCTAAAATTCGACACCTCGCAATTGTCACCAAAAAATCTCTCTCGTTGTCCTGACGTCCTAGTGTTAACATCGTACATAGTTTAAATAAGTCTCCAACTAAAATAAATTAAATCAACAAGGTTCATCAATTTTTTATCAGGTATATTTTAAATTATTAATATTTGTGAATTTGGTAATATTGTAAAATCGTTATATGAAAAAAAAATTTAACTTCAATCACTGTGTAATAATTGTAACTATTGTAAATTAACTAATGATATTAATTTTGGATTTAAACAATATATGTATTAAAATTATTCAACTACATCAATTTATTCAAACAAACCTATCATTCTCAATAAACTAAAACTCGGAAGTTCCCGGTCTATTAGCCTAACACGCTAGGACCAAATACTTAAACACATTAAATATTTTAAATGTAAAATTAATTAATTACCCTAAATTAATATTTTTTACATAAAAAATGCTTAGTCGACACATAGCGAAATTTTCTGACAGTTCCATTATAAGGAAAAATGCAATAATTATATTTCTATGAAACTAATTTAAAACCAATATAATTTCAACACCGGAAAATTTTGCTACCACACGGAAAAAATTAAATTGAAATAAATAATAATTGATTTTTAATAAACACTATTCAAATATTGCCTCCGTTAATATTTGCTAAATAAAATAATAATTTTAACCGCAACGATAAAAACCCACCTATAATTATTGACTCAATACTTTTTACTGTTCAAAAATTTAATTTTTAACAGGTGATAGTATGATATTTACAATAGTAAAGGCTACAAAACACTTTATTCAATATTAAATTATAAATTATGGCTTTTAAGTACGCTCTTTCAATCTTATGCTTTGTGATTTTCAATAGTATGCAGCGTAAGTCTTTTAGTTTTTTTCGTATATCTTTGATGATTAATACAAAAAAATACTTATCGTAGTATACAACTTACTGAAGAGTAAGTGATGCAATTTCCTATAAGAGTAAGTTTTTTTTTTAATTGCTCTAAATATTTTTGAATTTTTTGTAAAAAAATTCAAAAATATTAAAAAAAAAAAAACTTTTTTTATCTTTTCATCTAACCAAGGTAAATAATCCATTATATTCCGATGATCGTAAAAGATTGTTACAATCTCCATAGGCCATTTACTGCCTACCGACAACAACTCCGCCGATAATACTGACAGTCGACAAGACTTATATTAGTTCCCCTTAAAACCCAAAGGCGCGCTGCATTTAAATAAACCAAAAGCACATCGTTAACTTTTACAAAATAACATAAAGATTATGAAAGACCTTGCGTGGTACCGACACATCCACAAGCGTCTATACCTACATGCGTCCCGTTAATGGTGTATTTTTTAAAAGACCCCCTGGAGCCCCGGAGTGGGGGCTTTGTACACAACCGATCGGAGTATATACCGTATACCGATATACCGTACACCGAGTATAGTACATATAAGTGAGAAATCAAGATGGCACCCAACCCTGAATTTCATTGAGATTGAGACACAGGTGTCACTCGATTCGTAATAAAAAATACATGTCTATAATCTACACACTCCATAAAAATCCACCTGTGTATTTAGTGTACTGTAAAAATAATTTTTATATTTATTCTATACGCTATACAAACTATAATAATTCCGATACATATTAACATAAACAAGTGGTGCAATTTATAGTTTTAATATTATTATCGTTATGTTATTTTATTGTGAAGGTAAGTTTTTATTATAAATAATACTTTTTTATTATTTTTATCTCTTTAATTGTTTCAATAAATATTTGCTGCGTTTATCAATTTTTTTTTTTACTTTTAACGCGCCGCAATTTAACTTAAGTGTATGAGGCAAAACTTGCTTTTTTATATATATACGTATATATTTTATGTAAATGTATATAGGTATATATCGCAATATCTACATAGCTGTAGGCGCTTTTCAGAATTCTTAATGAATTCTCAATGGATTCGATCATAGATTCCATTTACTTTCCATCGTCGTTTTCAAAAGTGAAATTTTTATATTTTATAATTTTGTATTAATTAACTATAAATATATACTATATTTAAATTTATTTTAAAAACTAGAAATTAGTCAGTTAATGAACTTGATTTTCAAGATCAATGATTAATTATTTATAAAATATTTAATTTATAGTTTTGTTTACTGATCTTGACTTTAACAAAAACCAAAAAAAAAAAATTAATTATTTTAAAGAAGTAATCAAAATTTATTACAGTAAATAACAATTTATCAGTACGATTCCGCAAGATAACTTTATCTTAATTGCCAGAAAATCTTTTTTACATTCTTAATAATACATCTTTGTCTCAAAATCGTGTTTGTTATCATTATCATTTGAATTATTTTTCAGTATTGTCAGTATTGTTCACTAGAATGCTCAATTGCACTGAACTTTAGGCATTTAATTTTTCGTAAAAATTATAAGCGCTTAAGAAGATTTTTTTTTGATAGTTGTAGAAAAAGTTCATTCAAGTTTTGCTCGCTTGGAAATATAAATAGAGTCTTTAGTGATTCATCTTAGTTTGTGTTCAGAAGCGGGAAAAAAAAAAAACGAATCTTTGAAAGAGTTTTTAATGAATAAAAAAAGAATTTTTTTTCTTTTTATTACAAATGTTTTGTTATCTGTTATTGTGTAAAAGCGACGGGGACTGTTTTTTTTTACTAATGTCAGTGCAAGAGAGACAGTTGTATGTGTCACATTTAAAAATTTAATATTGCTGGGATATTTTTTTTTGAATTTTAAATCGATTTTTAAAGGTAGAATTTATGTAAGTTTGACGGAAATTAAATTAAGGATTAAAATTATTTATTTTTTAAGTAATGATTAATTAAGAATTTTTATTTAATAAATAATAAAAATTGAAATTTTAATAAAATTAAAAATTTGAAAATTTTAATTATATTATTTAGAAAAATGATTATTTTTTGAGTTAAAATAAATTTATTTAAAATTTATAAAATATTTTTTTTAAATTAAAAATTTTCTTTGCAATAATTTGTAAAATATTTTATTTTTAAAATTAAAAATTATCTTTACAATAATATGTAAAAAATTTAATTTAAAAATATTTATTATTTACAAAAAATAATAAGATTTTCTGACAGTATGTGCAAAAAAAAATCATTTGGTATGAAAGCAATCACTGTAAATCAGTGTTTTACGCAAGAGTTTTATTTCCTGGATATGAAGCATCGCAGGTACTTTCTGAGCATTAAAGCGTTTAAAATTTATTATACTAATGAAAAATTCTTACACTGAAACATCTGAAAAATCAAACATTTGAATACTTTGCTTAGTATCTGCAGGAAATGATAATATTTGCGTATAACTGTTAGATTTACAGTAAACAAACATTATGTTACTCTTCAATAATATGAATTTGCTGTGTGAGAATAGGTTTGTTCTTCCTTAATAACGCGCCTTTTAATTACCTATCACAATAAAAAGGATATGGATAGGGATAAAACAATAAAATTATTACATTCAGTTCCTATAGACCGTGTAGAAAAATTTTATTGCAAATTGTAGAAGTCTTCTTCAGAGTCTAGAAGACAATTATGATGTATTAATTTATAATTCATTTTTTATGCAGAAATAGAGTAGCTCTCGGTAAAGTCAAGGATTCTCACGAGATTAAAATGTAATAAATGTGGGCGAAATTCGCTTGATGTGACTAATGCTAATATTCTCGATAATTTACATAATTTTGCATTAGATTTTGCCCGTATTTATGTCAGTAATTTTTTCCATAAACGGGTCGAGTCAATTTTTTTTTTTTTTTTTTTTTCAGTTTAAATTACGCGTGAAACTGTCCATTTAAATAGAACTTTTAAAACAAGCTTACAAATATGTTAACAAATAAATTAATCAGTATTGAAAGAATAATTCTTTAAAATTTTATCCGTTTCATAACACAAAGAAGCGATAAAAAGTAATAAAATTAATACTGTTGTTTCTTATCGCGTTAAAGCTAAATTCAGTTACAATTTTTTAAATCCGATAATTGTGGTAATAAAATGTTTTATCATTATCATTAGTAGGCTAAGGTGAACTGAATGGTTGCATTAAAAATAATAATAATATTTATAAAAATATAAATTTATTATTACACTAAAAAATCGGGAGTAAACTCCATATTTACTTTAATCCGAAAAACAAAGTACGGAATTTTTATGCTAAAATAAATTTTAATTCTGAAACAATTTTTGAAAAAAAAAATTGTTTAAATTTAAAATTTAAAATTTAATTTGACTTTTTAACTAATAAGAACATAAAAATTCAAAAGTGAAAAATGCGTAGAGAAATTTTTAAGATTTTTTTTAAAATAAATTATTGTAGAGAGAATTTATTAAAAAATACTACTTGTAGAAATATGAAAAAAAAAATTGATATTTATTTCAAATTTTTAAATATTAATTTAGTAATTTTTAAATGAAAAAAATACAAAATTCACCCTTCGGAATTTATTTAAATAATATAAATAACACTGATAATAATAATAATAATAATTACTAATAAACTTATTTATTTAATTTTCAGAACAAGTTAGTCATTGAAAACAATTGAATGAAAATAAACAATTATTCATCTTGGAACAATCGATGAGACTGATTAAGAGTATCAACATTATTTTTGTTTGTTACATAAAGTAATCCATGGTTCAATATATTAATTAATATATATATATATATATATTTAACAACACGATAAATAGTCTATAAAAATGGATCGCTCACAGCACAGTATGACTTTTACCGGCGGTGATAGTAATTTGCAAGACTATTGGGAGGCTTATCAAAAAATGATTGAGGAAACTAAAATGCTTGATGACTATCTCGATGAGGAGTCTAGTCCACGTAGCTATGATGGTATTTCACTTTCATAATTTATGTAAACACTTGCAATTAATAGGAATAAATTAAATTGGTGATTAATTTTACAGAAGGTGAAGAAGAAGCCGAATGGCTAAAAGCTGCCGGCCTAGGGGAATTAACAGAGCCATGGAAAGCGGGACGAGAAATTCAGCCGGAAGAATTGGGTGCTGCATTGCGTACATTATCGCGTGCGCAAGCTGAAGCTGTAAAACGTCGTGTCAGGTCGCTAAATCACACTGTTAAACAAAGATTTAATCAGCGTACTAGAGCACGTAAACCAGACATTCGTGATGTATTCAAAGATGTTGAGGTAATAATTTCTATATTTATCCAATAATTGCTAATCAATGTTAGAAAGTAAAGTGGAGTAATTTAATGATTAAATATTTAATATTTAATATTTTGAAACGCCGGATTAAGATTATTTATTTTTAATCAAACATTTGTCACAAAATAACTCTATTTACTTCACAATGACTCTAGTTTTGGAGCTTTCGGATTTTTTCTCTTCAATTATTACTTTTACTTTATTATACAATAGAATTGCTTGACAATCCGAGACTATAGTACCGAAAAGCGGTCATTAGATAAACCTAAGCGACACTTTTTTCGTCGGGTATAATTAGAAACTCACTGGGAAGCATTAGCGACGTTTATCCCCTTCCCCTTATTTGGAGTACACTTAATAGTAATTACGAAAAATGCCTGAAATAAGACAATTTTGTGATAATATTATTTTTTATGAAAATCAAGTTAGCTGACATTTCAAAATTTGTAGAAATTTTTTATCGAAAAAATTTTAATTAAACAATTAAAAAAAAAATATCACATGTTAAAAACTTGAAAAACTAAAAGTGCAATTTTTTATAAATATCTTTTTAGTTGTAGTTTAATTAAAAAAAAAAAAAAATCAAAAATTTTTCGATGTCTGCTAACTTCAGTGTCATTATTTTTTGCGCTCTCATAAAAAATGATAAAAAAATTTCCGGTACCGGGAATCGAACCCGGATCTCCTGGGTGAGAGCCAGGTATGCTAACCAGTACACCATACCGGAGATTGATGAAGGGACGGCAGTTCGTAGAGTACAAAATAGTCGAATCAGTAAAAGCAGATGCGCACACACGTGACTTTTAGTCGCATTAGAGTTGATTCAGTCGATAAATATGGGATTTGTGATGGGAAAAATTACTCGATTATAAAACTTGAAAATAAAACATGTGTTAAAAAATTTTGAATGATTTTTAGTTTAATAAGTTTAAATATTTTACTTAATTAAAAAAAGGGCAATATTTACTGTAATTATATGGATGGTGTATGTTTAACTTGTAAAATTAGTTATTTTTTTTATCCTGATGTTCTTAATCAGGATACTTTTTTAAAGTAATTATAATTAAGTAAATAATAATTTAAATAAACGATATAAAAACAGAGTTGCGAAATTTTTAATTTAAAATTCTGTATTTTTCATTAGAAGTAAAATTGATAGTTATAATTTATTTAGTTGTGAGTTTATTTATATTTATAATTATATTATGAATTATTAAAAAAATTATTAATATTAAATATTTTGAGAGTTAAAAAATTTTTCTTTTAATTAATACACTTTAATTAATCGGGCAAGTGTAAATTTTTTTGAATTAAATTTATCACTAATATATTTACTTTCATCCATAAGTTTTTTAAAAATATTCACCGACAGTTTTACAAGAAAAATACAGAAATGTATCAATGTTTGGAAATTACCCCATATTAAGACCAATGTTAAATTGCTCAACTTGAAAGTTAATTATTTATTTAATTAATCGGTCAATCTCCTTCAAATTTCCGGAATTTGTTTAGACATATTTAAACTTCATATTAAAAAAAAAAATCAAAAGCCTTTCATCAAAAGTTGCCTTGGTGCTCGTACTTCCTTAAGCAATCGATAAACCAATTTCATTCCTATCAAAGTTACATGACAGACTTTACACTGCTTAAAAAGTTAAATTATAAAACGACGTAACAATGACTTTTAATTCAATATCACTAACAGGATAATCTTTTGCAGGCATCGAGCGTAGGCACCAGATCCCGTAGTGCGACACCAGATTCATTAGACAGTGTCCACGACTCAGGAGAAACACCCGAGAGTGCCTCCCCCCCTTCGCCGCCCACCGTAGTGAATACAACCGTCGGGCCCCATCACACGAGTATAAACATTCCGAGTTTCGTTTCGATTTTCCACCGGAATTCCCACGATGAAAAGGACTTCAAAGAGGGAAATCGTCAGTCGTCATCTATCAGCACCCACAATCACAATTTGTCGATAGTAACGCCAACGCCTCTGCCAGTCCAGGAAATATTCCGACGCACTGGGCATCACTGGTCCCACGGTGGAGACATAGCCAGCGACTCGGAGGGAATTGAATTGACTGCTTACCAGAGATTGGGGACGATAAGCTTGGCAAGACCGATCATCCAGCACCGAAGTGGAAGCGACCCCAGCGAAGTCGGAACTGAGAAGCTCGATGCAAAAGTTGGGAATGATTACTTACGGACGGATAAAATTAGTGACCGTAAGGACACTCTTAAAAGGGGCATCAGTGGAGGCAGCAATCATGCAAATGTCACCCGAAGTCACAGCAGCTTGCACAGAACCAGACCAGCGGACCATATTATCACCAGACCGCTCAACAGAACTTCCTCGCACGACCATTTGAGTTTCGAGCAAATGTGTCGAGCTAACGAGTCCATGACTGGAGTCGTTTCCTCCCAGGATGACGATGACTGGAATAACGAGGCAGATAAGGACTTTGACAGAAGTGCGGTTGAACTCCTGTCCCAGAGGGACTTGATGAGGCTACAGTCGTTGTTGTGGCTCGAGCTTACTGCTGTGTTTGATAAATACAACTTGCCGCTGATTAAGAGGAAGCCCAATAAACGGAGGCAGAAAGGTTTGATGAGTTATTTTTGAATTGATATGATAGTTTCTTATGAAAAAAAAATTATTATTAAAATATCGATAAAAGTTTTCTCCGTGCATTAATAAACCTCTCCATTTTTTTTTTTTTTTTTGTAATCCCAAATTACGTTTCTTTCAGCTGGAAATTTATTCAGCGTATCATTGTCAACACTTCTGTTACGCGACAGTCAGTTGACAAACGAAGAAAACAATATTCCGCTGATATTCCAAAAACTCCTTACGGAATTGACCGAGCGCGGAATTAAAGAAGAGGGAATCCTCCGAGTTGGCGGGAACAAGCAAAAAGTTGAGCAGCTTTGCACAGAATTGGAGACGGATTTCTACAGCAAGCCTAAGGAAGCTGACAAATTAATACAGCGTACACCTTGCCATGATTTATCAGCGGTGCTAAAAAAATTGCTGCGTGATTTACCTCAACCTCTGCTCACCGTAGAGTACATCGACGCATTCTATCAAAGTCACGGTAAATATATTGAGTTGATAATCATAATTATCACAATAATGATCAATCTTAATTGTTGCAGGTGTTAAAAGTCCCAGTGATTTATCGTACTCGTTGAATTTATTGGTGTTGTTGCTGCCAGTGGAGCATCGCTGCACGCTAAAAGCGCTGCTTAAATTTTTAAAATTAGTCATTGATAATCAGAGTTCAAACAAAATGTCAATTCACAACGTTTCGATGATCGTCGCGCCGTCATTATTTCCCCCGAGGTATATTTATCCACGTGATCGCTCGGATTTGAGTGCTCAGGTAAACATGGCTGCTGTTTGCTGTCAATTAACAGAAGCGCTCCTCAGTAATCTTGATAAGTTATGCAATGTTCCGAGTAATTTATTTAATCAACTGAGAAGACAATCTGAAGAGGACAGGTATCGTAAATATAAGAAGAAATAATATTGTCTTTTTAGTATTTTTAGCTTTTTGTTTTTATGCACTGGAAAAAAAAATTTCACTTAATTCAAAAGGAAATTTTTCAATTACACGGAAACAAAATTATGCGAAATATTCCTATAATAGGTAGGAATGGTTTCCATAATGGTTATAGAAATTATTCCTAGAATATTATAGATATGGTTCCAATAATGGTGTAGGAATAGTTCCCATACTATTATAGAAATGGTTCCCATAATGGTATAAGAACAGTTCCGAGGTCATTATGGGAACCACCCTTATGGTATTATAAAATCTATTCTCAAACCATTATCAGGACCGTTCCCATAATGAGAACTGTCTCTATACTATTATGGGAATTATTTCTATATAATGTCAAACAAATGTATATTTCCAGAATAGTGGAAAAATTCTCTCATAATATAGAGGATTGAATGGAGCTTTTAGACAAAAAGTGTATAATAGAAATGTTTTCTGCATTATTTTATAAAAAAATATTATCATAATAGTATAGGAATCATTAGAATAATACTATAGGAATTATTCTTATAATAATATAGAAACTATTCTCATAATATTATGGAAATAGTTCCGATAATAGCATGGAAACTATTCCTATACCATTATGGGAACTATTTCCATAATATTATAGGAATAATTCCCATAATGGTATGGAAATAGTTTCCATACGATTGTGGGAACTATTCCCGCAATTTATAGGAATAATTCCTATTATTTATTGAGTTCATTTCTATTTATTATGGGCATCATTCCTATAATAGTATAGAAACCGTTCCTATAAATTATAGGAATGATTCCTATAATTATAGAAATCGTTCCATTGATATTATAGGTAACATTCCTATAATTATAAGAAATTTTCCTATAATTATAGAAAAATTTTCTATAATTATGGGGACTGTTCTCATAATTGTAGTTTCTATAATAACATAGGAAAAAATCCCGTAAAATTATGGGAATCGTTCCCATATTTTTCTTTCCGTGCAAAAATTTCATTTTTGAATCAATAGAATTTTTTTTTGTTTTTCAGTATGGTGCTCGCCTTTCGTAAGATATACTGTGAGCAAAATAGCAAAAAAAAAACCAACAATTAGTTTAAAATTTGCTTGAGCAATTTTTTACACTGCAAAAAAAATTTTTTTAATCAAATAAAATTTATTATTCCAAGAAAAGTTTTTTTTTGATCAAGTTAATTTTTTTTTTTCAAAAAAAAAAAAATTAAATTTGTATATTATTGTGATTCATAAAATTTTTAAGCATTAAAGTAAAAATTTCATTGCTCAAAAGTATTTTTAAAACTTTAAAATAAAATTTTTGGTGCTATAATTGTATAAAAAAATTAAGTTGGTTTTTTTTGTTATTTTATTGTGCAATTAATACAACGAAAATAGTGTAACAATTGTTATTGTTTATTAATTATTTCACATAGGTTGTAGTTGTTCTCTTGGTAAAATTTTGCGTACTTAAAAAATTTTTATAAAATGTAATATTTAGTATTAATAATAATTTTATATTACATAAATTTTAAAAAATTTTGATAGAAAAATCTGTTTATAATTGAGCTCAATTAAAAATCAAAATTTTATATTTTTGTATATACTCATCAAGGTGCCTTGAAAAAATTAATTAATTCAAAATAAATTATTAACAATAACAATATATTAATATTTTTAATGTCAGTAAATTTAGATTTGTATTTTTATAGGTGCTGAAAAATGTTATTTATAGAAAATTACATTTTTTGTATTTTGCAAACATTTTCAATATTAACCTGTTGTGAATCATTTTAAATATTTTAATAACGCATATACAGCGTCAAGGTTATTTAATAGATGATAACAGTGGCTGATTAGTTAATTAATGAAATAGTTTGTTAGATTAATACTTAAAAAATAATTATATAAAAATGTTGTATCTAAAAACGCCATTTATTAATTTTTGTAAGGCATTTTAATAATATGTCATTTGATGATTTTTGTAATATGACATGCCATACTACAATAAGAACACATTAATTGTAAATATTGCATTAAAATTACTTTAATAAAGTGCCAAAGAAAAAAGAACAATATAAATATATATTTTTATTTATTTTTTTTACATTTTTATGTCGCAAAATTTATAATATTATTATAAATATTATTATTTGTAACACTTTATTTAAGCTCTAATTCAAATTTTTTGTGCAAAAAAAAAATTTTTGTCTCTTGATACATTTTTTGAGAAAATTAGAATTGTTTTTTAATAAATTTATAAGAATGTCATTTGCTTTAAAATATAAATTGAAAAAAAATTTTTTTTTCCATTAAAATTACTGTTAAAAAAAAAAAAATCTTTTTCAAAATTTATCTTTCTTGTTCATAATCATTTTCAACAGTAGTAGTTTCTTCGGTAATCGAAGTCTGTGAATTTTCTTCAGTAGCTGATACTTGTTCCTTAACTTGACTCGGAGAAGTAGAAATCAAGGTTGACTCTGGATTTTTAGGCGGTTGATTTGCTGAATTGGTTTTTTCTACCACCACGAAATTATTAGCGATTGAATTTACCGGGTAGTCTGCGCATTTAAGTTTCTTTTTTTGTTCTAAAAACAAAAATGAAAACCATTTAAATATTTTCTTTTAAAAAAAATTTTTAAATCTAAATTTACGTACTTTGCAATTCATTGACAATCATTTCAAACTCATTATCCTGAAATAAGAACAAATTCGCGCGGTGGTCAAACCCAATTGTCGCGAGTGGTAGCAATATTTTCAAGTGCTCTCTTAATCCGATAATGGCGATCTGATGACCTATTGCCTTGAAATGCATCAGAATGTCTATGTAGTGTGATCCGCGATCGAAATCAATCACAGCGACTAGAAGAAATTTTTTTATTTCATCAGTTTCATTATTTTTTATTTAAAAAAAAAAAAAAAAAAACTCAATAAATTTTTTTAAAAACTTATTATACTTATTGTTATTTTGCGCCCATTGTAAGTTGAAATATCCTTATTGATTCGCGTAATATTAGCCACCACAGTTATATTTTTTACGGTACTATTCTGTAAGTACTTCAACGCAGATACTAACAAACAATTGTTGGTCTGATTAAAAGGTATAAAAACAGGTGGATCAGTGATGTAACTCGTCATTCCCGTTCTCAATTGATTTGACGCCCTAACAAAAGTATAATAATTATTTTGAGTCCGTCATTTTTAAATCCATTCAATTTTTCAATTAATTAATTTTTTATTCTCTTAAATTAATTTTTTATTTTATTAAATTAATTTTTTATTTTCAAATATCCAGAAATTTTTTAAAAATTGATTTATCAAGACTATTATTTTTTAAAATTTTAATTTGTAATGTACTCTATAAAAAAATCATAATAATTATTTGAAGATAGTTTTGATATTTTTTTTTTAGATTTTTGGAAAAAATAATTTTAACATTTTTTTGTAAATTTTCTAATTTATGCAGACGATTGATTTGTTTTGTTTTGTATATATGTATATATTTTTTCATCTGGAATATTTCACAAAATACTATTCTAGAAACTTTTGAGCATGTATGAAGGACCTTAAAATTTGAGAGAAAAAGAAAAATGAAGTGGCAATAATTGAAAAAAAAAGATTTTTCTAGAAAAAGTCGAATAAAAAATGAAAAAGCTGCTTTGAATAATTTTCTACTTAATTAAATATAAAAATTCATACGGAAAAGCCTTTAGAATATTCTGAGCAAACTTCAGAGCCGACGATTTGATATTCTGCGCGGAATGGTCCATCAGAAGATAGTAAGCCGAACTTCTTCGAATATCTTCACCAAGGGAGTGTATGATGCGCCGAGTGTAGTCGGATGTATTAGAGCAAATGGGAAACTCCATCAGATTTTCACCCGCGATCCATCCGTTGTTCAAGGTACAGGTGATGGTATTGATTCCATTTATCATCAAGTTTTTGGTGCACCTTAAGCTGCACTCCCGGCCATTTATTATGTTGATGCAGTTCCAGGTTCCGTTGGAAATTATCGGCGGAATATCACAAGCTGTTATAAAATAATGAATTTTCTATTTAATTTTTAGTTTTTAACATTGAACCAATTAAAAAAATTTTTGATTATAAATTTTATACGAAATTCGAATTTTGAAATAAATATTTTTTTATAATTAATTAAATTCAAAATTTTGCTCACACATTAATTCAATTAGATGCTGATACAAAATCATCTATTTTTAACATTAATTTTATATCCAAAATAATTACAATAATCTGCTATTCGCGCTAAAAAATTTCATTAAATTTGGCTCACTATTTTTTTCTTACATTATTAAAGAATATTATAATTATTTTATGCAAAAAATCAATCATTGAAAAAATATTCGTTTCAAAATTTGAATTTTACAAAAAAATTCATAATAACTCAAAAAATTTTCCCATGGACAATTAATTTACGAAAAACTCACTAGTTTTGCAAACAAATGGTTGCTTGCTATCGCAATCCAAGCCATAGAAGTGCGACTTCACATGATCAGCACGGTCTAAATTAAGACAAGTGGAGGAAGGTTGAGAAACAATTCCATCGTCACCTTCGATGTTTGTCCAAGGAGGAAATCCACTTTCATCTTTATCTCTAGGAATTTTTTTGTGACTGGAAGTCCAGACCCACTCGTCGGTTTTCGGATTATAGTAACCTCCCAGCCAAACGTGGGATAGTTCACGGGGATGGTCGCCCATCGCTTCAATTATCATGTTTACTGTGTTAATATTGTTCACCTGAGCTAGTACGCTTCCTGAAGAAATGCAATGAGAAGCACTTTCGTTCCAGGTTTTCTCAAGTGGATATATTACGTATGTGTTATTGTCGTATGAAAACTTGATCGGGTCGTCCCACCAGTCGTTTTCCTCATCGTCGGTATCTGGAATTCATTTTGGTAACAAAAAAACGGGAGTAGTTTCTTTTGTTGATAGTTAATTAAATTATAGTGTTACATTCTTCGCAAATGAAACTGCGCTTGTGATCGCACGAAACTTCAAGAAATGTTGAATTTTTTTCCATGTGCCGGTCGAGAAGCAGACACCCGCTGTTCGCCTCAGGACGACCGTATCTCCAGGGTGGGTATCCACTCTCGTCGGTTAGCGAGTTTAAAATTGAACCGGTTGATAACCAAATCCAATTGCCGTCATTAAAATACGCTCCTATCCACACACTTTCAAAATCTATACAAAAATTTTTTAGATTATTTTAATATAAATTAAAAATGAAATAATAAAATTATTTTAATATAAGTATTCGTATTTAGAAATTTTTTTATTATTGAATTCGAGAATATACGGCCAGATTTGCTTTAAAAATCTTGAACAAGTTGCCATCACAAGTTGTTGCATTCGAACTTCAAAATATTGCTTGATGTCAGGGGCCGTGCTGAGCGTAGAAATCAAGTTCTGCATCAGCCTGCCTGTAGGACTGTTGCCTATGAAAACTCATTCTTGTTGACTGCAATGAGGGAATGGAATCAGTTACCGAGTGATCTTGTGGCCGTGAATTCTTCAGCTGAGTTTCAGACGTTGTGTTACAAATTAATTTTTGATAAAGACATTTGAACTGGAGAGTCAATAATAATAATAATTGTTTATTTACTTATGTGATTAAAATGTTATTCAAAATTTTGTATTCAAACTACTTTTCAATTTTGTATTCAAATTCTTTTTTAATTTTGTATTCAAAGTACTTCCTCACTATGTAATACTATTAAATTTCTACGGCCTTTAAGGAACGTCAGTTTTAGGGCCGAATTTCTTCAATAAATAAATAAATAAATAAACCAGTAATTCCATTTTGTACACAAGTTATGAGTAAATAATTGGAATTATCTATTTAAGGTAATACAAGTATACGATGACAGTGAATCTTATAGACCTGCAATGATTTTATAGAATTCAAAATGAATAAATAAATCATTAGAAAGGAATAATTAAAAAATTGTGTTTTGTTGTATTTTTAATTATTATTTAATTTGTTTTTAGAACAACAACTTTGATAAAAAAAAACACCATGGCGCGTAACCGAAAATCGTGACGACTTTTTTGTACATTGCTAAAAAATTAAAAAAATTTTCGAAATTTTTCATGATAAGAAAATTTTTCTCTTTTCGAAATTTTTTTTTTTTTATATGAAAGTAATGTTATTTAATTAAAAATAAACTAGGAAGGAATTGTGTTTAATATAGATTATCGAGCTGACTCCGGCGTTACTGCAATGCCGGGCAACCCACGACAGACTCGGAGCAAGCTCCATAGTTCCGTCAAGTTTCAAAAATCAGGTTAATATACTGGATTCTCAATGAGAATCGTACCAGATATTAAGCTGATAAGAACAGATACTACACTTTGATCTTAGCCATAGGCCGAGAAGCGATAACTAATAATAAAAAGAAATAGAATTTAAGCATTCTGAAGCAACAGTCTTCAAACGGACAAAAAGTTTTTATGTGCGGCACCTCACGGTAACTTACGAAGTTCCGCTCACTGTCAAGCATACTCGACTGCCTCTTCCCCTTCCCCTTCCAACTTTCCCTACTTCTGACGAAAGCTTAGAATATAACATTCAATGCAATGCTTTCTGTTTTTCGTAAAAATATAAACACTTTCGGAACTAAGTTGCGAGAGGCCATTTTTCGGAAAAATTTTGAAAAAAAATTTTTTTTTTTCATGCAAAAAATGTTTGTTTTTTTTTTTTGTACTGGCTTGTATCCAAATAATAATATTACAATCTTTCTTTTTTATAAAAATATTTTACTAAAAAAATTAACAAATTTAAAAAAAAAAATTTATTTTTAGGGTCGGATGAAAAAATTCTCTTTTAAAAAAAAAATTTTTTACACGAAAAATTTTTATCCTATTGTGTACTAGCTTGTATATGAGTAATTATATCATAATCTCTTTTCTGATAAATTATTCTAATAAAAAACTAACAAACTTGGAATAAATAATTATTTTGGCGGTCTAAAGAGCGAATTTCAATTTAAAACTAAAAAAAAATTTTTTACGAGTATTAATTTAACTCCTTACCTGGGCGAGTTTTGGTCATACTGTTAGAAAGAATATGAGTTACAATTAAATTTTTAATAACTGCCAATCTGGAACCTTGTGTTCTGCAATAAATCGCAGCCTCTTGCCACGTGACTTTTCCATGGTACAACGTAAACGTGTTTCTATTAATTTGTACCCATTTTGAAGGAATCGGGCTGTTTATTTCGCTGTCCTCTAAAAATTCCAGAAGCTCCAATTATTATTCAATTGAAAAAGAATTATAAATAAAAATCATTAATACTCATAGAATAAGTGACAACTTTTTTGGCAAATGAACGGTCGTTGAAGCCGACAGTCAAGGTCGATAAAATTCGGATGCTGATGGTGTTGGCGGTCAATAGCAAGACATTCTTTTGTGGGTCGAACGGGTTCTCGACTCCAGGGTGGGAAATTTTCTACATTAGATTCCGTCGGTAATACATTTTTCCACGGTCCCGCATCTCTGTCCATCCAGTACCATACGAAGTCTATTCTTTTGGCTCCCAGCCAAGTGTCTTCCATTTCTTTCAGGAGCAAAAATTTTTTAATAAATAAAAAAACATTTAGATAAATTAATTAATTTTCTAAAATCTATTTTATTGTTTTTTCACTGATAAAAATAATTAACTTGATAAACTAAGTTTATTTTTTTTATCAGTGTACTTTTTCAAACCTATGTTCGAATCTGCCAATAACCGCCCAACAGCAACAGCTTTTTCCATGGTGTCAAGTATCGCTAATCTCGAAAAATAACTCTTACAAATCATCCGGGCTTCGTCCCAAGTAACTCGTTGGGAAAATAGTAAATATTGTACACTATTTTCTCTGTAATATTCAACAACTGGTTGCCGTTCTTCTTTACCTGAAATTGTACTTTTTTTTATGATTTTTTCAAACATTAAAATAATTTTATAATTATTATAAGTTAAAAAAATGATTAATTTTTTAATTATTGAGAAAATACTTACAGTCATTTTCAAAATCTTGTTTCCATTCAAAATTTTTAGCAAGCGCCAATATACTATTATTAACAATTATAACAGTTAAAAGCACTATAAATTTTTTACAGTTGCAGAACATGTTAAATATGTTGAACAAATTGAACTACAAAACTCAACTAGTTGATCCGCAGTTACTAATTTTATATTGATATCAAAGTCTGATAGCGTTGTTGTTTAACAATAGTTGATAAAAATTTTATCGGGGTTACAATACAAGAATAGTTTATTTAAAAATCAAACAATTTTTTATTGTAATTAGTATTTATTATTATTACTAACAAAATTGAAAAAAAATTTTTTAGAAACGAAAAAAAAATTTATTAAAATAATTTTTAAAGTGATTTTTATTTCATTTGATACTTAAACAATAATTAAAAATATACATTATTATAATAATAATTGTTTAAAATTTTACTTAAAAATATTTGAAGAAAATTATTAAAAATTTATTTTTTATTTTATTTATAAAAATTTTGATTTAAATACTGAAATATATTAATAAAAAATAAAAGAAAAATCAGATTGGTCACTTAAAGTTCTAAAATATGTAATAATATCGCAAAAAAAAAAACAGGAAAATTTTTAAAGGTATTTTATTACAATTATAGTTAATAATTAATAATTAAAATTTTTTATTGGATAGAAGCGATAACTTGCTCGAGTGAAACGTCGCCAATAATAGGTGTGAACAATACCGCAGACAATTCTTTTGAACAGCAAGCGAACAAAATCGGTAGAACAAAAATAATTTCCGCTAATCTGTTGTTGGCATTTTGTAAATGAGTGATTAACAATTGCAATGCTGAATTTTTTGCAGTATTAATTATTTCGACCGCTTCAGCATTTTCAGTGAATTCTAAAAGAATAAACATTTTTTTTTTTTTCATTAAAATACATAAAAAGTTCCATAAATTATAATATAAGGCAAGAAAAAAAACTAAATTTTTAAATTTATTACCTGAACAGAGAGTAAAAGTTTCCAGACACGATAATTCAATTTGATCGAGCTGTAACTTAGTAATAGTCGATCGCGCTGACGATAAGTATCTAATTATACTTTTATTGCCCGTAGAACTGGTAATGTCTAGCGTCGTAAAGTCTATCGGCCATGTTGATAAGTGAAGAATGAATAACGCTGACCAATTATTACGGAGGATTATATTTTGTGAGGTCGGATTTATTTTTGAAAAATATTTGTGTTTTCGAGCGTTACGAATTGATGACAGAAATATTTCTGCCACTATTTCGTACTGCAGTGTTTCCTCTGAATCATAAAATATTTTATTTTTATTATTTATATTAATGATTTAGGAAGTTCAAAGTGTGAATAACTTCTTAATAATTGAAATTAGCTTGAAATTCTTACCAGATTGCACAATTTTGGTCGCCACAGAACTTAATATCGTAGAATTTGATGCAAGAGCAGGTTCTTGGTGCTTATAGTCACTTATTCCGAAGGAGAAATTACTGTTTAAGCTAATGATGTTACTAATTGATTCTGTTTGTGTCCAAACAGATGGAATTCTATGTCTGACTTTTGTCCGAGGTCCCCGTTCTTCTTGAACCGCTTAAAAAGATTGAAATTAAAAATCATAATTAAAAAAAAAAAGTTTAATAGGAATAATTTTTATAATAAAAAATATTTTTTTTTCTTTTGTGTTTAATGTAATATAAAATTACATAGAAAATTTTTCATGTATTATAATTTATAATTTTTGAACTATAAAAATGAAAAAGTAAAAAGTAAGAATCGCTTTATCATTTATCTACAGAAAACAGTAACTATTTTATTTGCGTAACAGCGATTCTGACAGGTAAGTTTGTGGTCGGTTGTCAATTATAACTGTTGACACTTCTTTGTCGTATGATCAAGCACGTGTCTGTCGTCGCACGGCCACTTGTTTGCTCAAGTCCGAGTCCAACACTCTAACGTCAAAATCCCACTACCTTATTTTTTTTATATCCATTATCTAATGAATTAATAATAGCTTTAATTATAGTTTATAATTTATAGTTTATAAGGCTAGAATTTTTGTCTTAATTTTAAATAACAATTAATAATTAATTGTATCTAATTTTTGCAATTGAGGCGGAAATATTTTTCATATAATAAAAGTTGTTCAAAATTTAATTTAAAAAAAAAAAATGACCTATAATTTTTTCTTAAGACCAATAAAAAATCCGCTATTTAAAATTAAAAATTTTTGTAAGTAGAGAAAATTTGAATTATTTATTATGAATCTTAATTAAAAAATTACGGTGAAAATATTGGACCTATAAATTGTAGTTTTAAGAAATTTACCTGTTATATTCATTTCTACGGCGAAACATTTTTTTAGCCGGCAATGTGGACACCAATTTCTTCTTGCTTTGTCTATTGAACAATTCCCATTGCCAGCTTAATTTAAAAAAAAATTTTTTCATTAAGAATCTTTTTTTTAAGAAAATTTTCACGAGGAAGTAAAAAAAAAAATTTCATCAAAAAAGGAACTTTGATAAGCTACAGCAAAATTAAAAAAAAAAATTCTCTAAAATTTAATTATTAAAATAGCCATAAAAATAAAAACTAAAGAACAATCCTCAAAATTTTAATTTTCTTCAAAATAATTGTGCATATAAATGTTGTAATATTAATTAATATTATATTATTACAATAAAATAAAAAATTAAAATTACCTATACAAGTATAGATGACTCCGCGTCGAACAGACCTTTTGAAAAAACATGAACAACCATCACAACAATAAACACCGTAATGTTTTCCGTAGGAACGATCACCACAAACTTTGCACGCCACTGGGCTCGGTAAAGTGCGTCCTACGAAATTCAAATTATTCATAAAGATATTAATAAAAAAAAAATAATATCAATTATCAATTGTCAATTGTGCTGTTCTCTTACCCATGATTTAACTATACCAGGAGTAAATCTCTGATACTGTTACCCGATCGGAAGGTGAATAAATGTCGACATATTCCTATGACCAGTTAGGTTGTGATTCCACTTAGGGGTAGGTAAGTGGATGTGAAAAGGGGTTGGGTGGGAGTAGTCAAACAAATCGCTCCGATGTTCTCCACTCAGTGAAATAATATTTACATAAATAATTCTTAGTTTCATTGTCGGTGTCAATAAATTTTATTTTTTACTACAGATATTCTATCTTTTTTTTTTTTTTTTTTTTTTTTTCAAAAATTTTATAACCGAATGCAGCAATTAGAATCAGTTATTTTTCTTCACAATTAAAAACAGACAATTTGTTAAAACAGATTATTGCCTTGTCAATTAAATTTAACGCCTAAAATAATGAGACGATGATTTTAACGTTTTACCGTAAAGAAAGGCTGTATACAATTAATTAATTACATTAATCAATTAATACTTGCATAAAAAGTTTTAAGACTTTCGAAATTTTCAGTCTCTATTGATTAAATATGAGTGATATGATACATTGCAATAAAGAAAAATTAGAAAAATGGTTGACCCTGAAGGCCATCTCTGCAATTTCCCGCTAATTCCATATCTGAGCGCTTAAAATTGCACTTATGACGTTTTTGAGCTCTTCGAGCTTTAATAATTAAGAAATGTTTATTATAAAATTGGATTTTAGGGTTGAATTCTTTGTTACGAATGTTATTTAGTGATAATAAATTTTTTTAATCTGTTTTATGTACTTTCGTCGGGTTTCATGTGTTTGTTCGATGAAAACAAAATAAATTTACTATTATTTATAAAAATAAATCTTAATAATAATTTTTATAATTTATTTTTTTCTGATTACAACGACCTTTAATTTTGTAAGCTATTAACCATTAAACTTTAATGGCTCTTTCAAAATTTCCGTTTTATAAAAAAAAACTCATTATTTTTAATGTCTTCGAGAGCTTCAAAAAATAAAACTTTATGACCTGTTAATTATAATTATAATTAAAAAACCCAAAAATCCAACTAACGACTCTTTAAAAGTCCAATCGTTAGTAAAGAATTTTTTCAACAACACTCGCCACACAATAAGTCTTTTTAAATTTATTACACAAATAAAATGTGGAAAATTGCAATACAGTTTCTATTGTTAGACACTATTAGCACAAATGGCTGCTATACCGCTTGTCCGAGTTACTATTTAAGAATTGATCGACATTGTTATTAACAGTAATAATCAAAATAACGCTTATAGTGGCTGGGATGGTAGTGATCATTATGAACCAGAAAATGACATAGTTAATTTCTTGTTAAAAAAATACTAAATTTTTATTTTAACATTGATAAAAAAGTGAAATTGATTTAACTTAGATTTTTTTTTTTTTTTTTTTTCCAGCCTTTTGGTGACAAGTGACTAGTGTCAATGAAAAATAACTAAAAAATTGATTTAACTCTTCGTCTTGACATGTTTATCTTGATTTTTTAAAATAATCTATTTATGTTTGATATTGAAGGCACATCTACTGCCTACAGATGTATTTTTTTACTTTACATTGCTTGTAACAAAAATCTTGTAAATCTAGAATAATTTTTAAGTTAAAGAAAATTTTTTTCTCTCAATAATGATTTTTTGTTACAGTTAAATTTTGTATTATAAAAAAGGTATTGATTTGTCTATACAAAAAATTTTTTATTGATTATGAATTTTATATGAAAACCTGATTGATAAATAAATTACTTTTAAACAACGAAATTTTCCAGTAAAATGAAACTATATCACTTATTATATAAATATACTAAAAACATCTTTTTATAGACTTCCGTTCTATAAATTTAGAGTTATTACCTTCGATATCATCAAAAGTTCCAAAAATAAAACTTTTTATGATAACATAATCATATCGATAAATATAATAACTTTCAGCTACCTAAAAACACTTCATCAGTTTCGGATTACTTCAACAGTACTTGCAACATCAAATTAGAACTTTCAATTTCATTTTCAACACTCAAATATTTCTGTTCAAAATGTGGAAAATTCCAATACAGTTTCTACTGTTACACACTATTAGCACAAATGGCTGCCCGTCCGCATGTCCGACTTACTATTTCAAGCCTCACTCGACTAGAGCTGAATTTCTGAAGCTCCTGCCAGATGACAGGAACATGAGCGACATCGCGCTGATCGGAACACAATCATCGGCGATCGACAGTCATCAAAATTTGAACATCAATGATCAACTGGACTCCGGCGTAAGAGTTTTTGACATCACTGTTAGGGCATATTCCGACGAATTAGCAGTTCACGACGGCTTGAGCTTTGCTAACCAAATGTTTGACGACATTTTGAATATTTTTCTCCAATTTCTTGCTGATCATCCCGGAGAATTCCTGATTGTCTTGATGAATGAGGCCCATGTAATGCCATACAACTCTTCTAAAGGTGTCTGTGAAATACTGGAGCGTTACCTAAAGCCAAATATGCTCAAAATTTGGTCACTGAGTGCCAAAATTAAAGAGTATCGCGGGAAAATACTGCTTGCGACGATCAACGATTGGTCCTTTGAAGATTGTGTTGTCAGCTTATATGTACGCTGTCGAGTATCATCAGACTTTAGGGTACATGATAATGATTTGGAGGATTATACGCTCGAAGACATGAAAGCCATTGAATTCACGAGACTACAAGACGCAAGTTTTTTTGAAAACCGTAAATGCTTTATAAATATTATTTCTATAAAAGGTAGAAGAGCACCAGACATATATAGGGTCGCGGTAGAGGGATTGGGTGGCTCGTATTGTTCAATGCCGATGAACGTACGAGTCGCTAATACGTTTATAAATCCTCATCGGGCGCTGATCATTCTTATGACAGACTTTCCAACTCAAGAGATGATCGACAATATTATTGATAGTAATCATTATAATTACTCTAAAAATGTCTGGGATGTTGATGCTCATTATGATCCAAAATCAGATGTAAATAATTTTATGTTAAAATTACACTAATAATGGAAATTTATGTAGATTTTTTACTGTTTAAATGATAGTATAATAAATTGTACTCCGGATGTAATAATAAACCATTTTATAAGAAAAGAATAATTTTCGTCAAAATATTGTGATTTCTGTATTGTTATATGAAAATAGTATTTATAATTTTTTTTATCAGCTATCTAGATTAATAATGACTTGTGTGCGGGCTCAATTTATTACATTTATAAAAATTTATAAATTTTAATTTTTTTTATTTATTATAGACTATCTGTTACTCGCCCGCTCCGCTGGGCACTTTATAGAATCGCATTTTTAGATCGAGACTTGAAATTTAATTAGAGTATTGTTTTGATTTGCACAGATTTCCAATTCTATCGAATTGGCATCCACCTTTTATCTATGTAATTATTCTAGCTAATATTCATTGTAACTTTCAATGTACAATCATTATAATATTCTCGTGTCTTTCTTACAAGAATGAATAATAATTGATATGAAAAAAAAAAAATTTATAATGAGCATTGAAAGTTTCAGTTGAAGAAATTGCAGGTCTCATAAGTGAAGAAATCTGCCTAGTATATAAACACATAATTAATATAATTAAAAAATTTATTTTAAACAAATGACAATCGAATAGAATAAATTTAGTTACAATAAAAATTCATTATTTCTAAGTGAAAAAAATATAGGTTCCGGATAAGTAAACATTTATTAGTATAATATTATTGGCTCTCCATTTATTAGTATAGATTACACTTTTGCATAAAATATAAGTAATCTAATAATTGACATAGTATTTAAAATTCTTAAATCAAGTAACACCAAAAACTACCATCAAGAAATACGATATTCGATGCTTAGCATTTTCAAGCGTTCTTATTTTTATAAATTGATAAAAAATTTTATGTTCAAATTGAAGGTTGAGTAATTACAACTCGAAATAGTTTTATTCTTCATTAATCAGTTCTTTTTCAAACTTCGACACAAACTCATCAATAAAAATGTGGAGGTTAGTAATTTTCATCACAATTTTACTCAATATCAATTTGACCATTGGATGTCCTTTTTCTTGTCCGAAGTATACCTACATGCCTCATAAAAATCGTGTCAGAGTGATCACAAAATACCCTGGGTCCGTGAAAATAAGAAACATTGCCGTATTGGGAACTCGTGAGTCAATGGGCTACAAGATTAAGTTCGACCAAAACCAAAAGTTGGAACTAAGCGAGCAGTTAAATTCCGGCGTGCGTGTTTTAAACATCGGTGTCCGTGCAACCTCCAATCGTTTCGCGGTTCATAAAGGGGCATGGTTCTTGGACACTATGTTTGGATCAGTGATCGGAAAAGTTTGGTCTTTCCTTGAAGCTAATCCCGGAGAAATAGTTTTCGGGCTGATGCATAAAGCTTACTCTGAGGCGTCGGATGTCAATAAAAGCCATTGCCAAATTTTGAGAGACTACATGAACTGGAGGATGCTAAATTGTCTCAATACCAGAGAGTTAACTCCAAGAAATTAATTTCTAAAATTAAAAAATTTGTAAGACTCTTTTAAAGAGCTCACCAGTCATTGGTTTTTTGATTAATTAGCTCCTAAAAAAATTTCTATTTAACAAAACACATTAATAGCCGTACACATTCCATGATCTAATATGTCCATATATAATTTTTAATGGCCATATCAAGCCATTCCCGGCTTAACATAGCACTGTATATCGTAATATAAGTTAATATACCTATAAATAATTTTTTTATTACAAGTAGTGTTGAAAGTCACCGATAGGTGGCGCATGATCGCTAAATTGTCTCAATACCAGAGAGTTAAGTCCAAGAAATTAATTCCTAAAATTAAAAAATTTGTAAAACTCTTTTAAGAAGCTCACCAGTCATTGGTTTTTGATTAATTAGCTCCTAAAAAAATTCTGTTCAACAAAACACATTAATAGCCGTACATATTTCTTAAAAAAATGCACGATTGCCATAAATTATTTT